ACCCTATTGTTCAGTGCTATCGTAAACAGACAGTAAGGTGGCAATTTAATTGTACTGAAAATTCAATAACCAACAGATGGAGCATCCTCTTTTATACAAATATTGTTGTATTAACAACAAAAAAAATCCACACTGTAGGCCTAGGCATACATACATGTACATCACACGCAATAGATCCAAGATTTAATACCAGCGAGAGCCCCCCCCCCCCCCCCCCCCCCCCCCCCACGTTCGGAATCGAATAGGGCTGCTGCTATCAGGGGCGTAAATCACGGGGGGATGGGGGGCTGCATCCCCCCTGGCTTGAAGTAGGGGGGATGGCCTGTACAAACATCCCCCCTGATATTACCAAAAAAAAAGAGAGAAAAAAAAGGAAGAAGAAGAAGAAAAAATGTGATGGTTTCAATTTCAGCATAATGCATGAGAAATGAGTTATTTTTTATGTATGTATAACTGTATAGGCTACACGCATACAGTATTTCACCATCATTAAGAGTAGTTGCGCGACGTGCGCGAACAAGCACTTCATAAACTTCAGAATAATTTTTCGTTATTTTGCAAGGTTTAGCCCAGACGTAAAATGCGCCAGCGCGCGAGCGCTTAATTAAAGGGAAAGTCCACCCCCAAAATAAGTTTGTTTCGATAGAGGCAGAATAATAAGAAAATCAGGTGAGTGAAAGTTTGAGCAAATTCTGAATGAAAATAAGAAAGTTATGAATTATTGAAGTTGTGATCAATCAAATACAAATTGGCAACTCTGTGACTTATTATACGAGCTCTCCTTCATTTGCTTTGTGCATAATATTCCATAAAATCATGTTTTCTTCGTTATTGATGACGGAATATATATTTGTTCCTTGCAGGGGGAGTATAGAAACATATTTGCAATTATTATATTTAGGGTGCATGTATGGTTGAAATTTTTCTTGAGGGAAAATGAAAATTTTAGATTTTTTTAGTACTGAGCAAATGGAAGTTGAGCTCGCATGATACGTCATAGAGTTGCCAATGTGAGTTTGATTGATCACAACTTCAAAAATCCTAACTTCCTTATTTTTAATCGGAATTTGCTCAAACTTTCACTGACTGTTTCTCTCATTTTTCTACTCCTATTAAAACTAACTTAATTTCAGGGTGGACTTCCCCTTTAAAAAGGGCAATCATATACAGTAGATGCCCGGCTCCCCCCCCCCCCCCCCCCCCCCCACTTAGTGTTATTTAGGGTACGCGTATGCTCGTTCCCTCCCTTTGAAAGCACCCCCCCCCCCACCCTATCTCAGGACTGCCAACATTTCTGAATCCCCCTTTCGCCGGCTTTTCGCTGGCTTTTCCTGCCTTGGAGACCCCCCCCCAAAAAAAAAAAAAAAAAAAAAATCCGGAACACTACTAAATGTACCACCCCCCCCCCCAATTTCAGGTGAGCTCTAGTCGATCGAGGGGGACTGGGGGCCAATGCTTTTACTTTTCAAAATGAAATAATCCTGAATGAGCTTTCAAAGCTAGCAGGAATTTCAGGAATTTGATCCGGGATGTGATCAATTTTTCTATGATATTCCAGATATTTTATAACCTCCTTTTTACATTTCTCAGGAGTCCAAAGAGAGAGAGAAAAAACCCACCCCCTTTTTAAAGAAATTAAGAGTCGAGAATGGTTCAACCAATCGTCTTCTTTCTCTAATGATTTAATGAAACGTAATAGCTTCCGCGCTTCGCGCAAGAGGGAGGGGGGGGGAGGGAAAAACTGAATTCAGGTGAGGATTAAAAGTCGAGAACGGAACAACGAATCGTCTTCTTTCTCTAATGATTTAATGAAACGTAAAAGCTTCCGCGCTACGCGCGGGAGGGAGGGGGGGGGGGGACTGAATTCAGACGAGGATTATTTTCGAGAACGGTACAACGAATCGTCTTCTTTCTCTAATGATTTTATGAAACGTAAAAGCTTCCGCGCTTCGCGAGGGAGGGGGTTGGGGGAACTGAATTTTCGAGAACGGTACAACGAATCGTCTTCTTTCTCTAATGATTTAATGAAATGTAATAGTTTCCGCGCATCGCGCGGGAGGGAGGGAAGGGGGGGGGGGAAGGGAAAAAACTGAATTCAGATGAGGATTAAAAGTCGATAACGGTACAACGAATGGTCTTCTTTCTCTAATGATTTAATGAAACGTAAAAGCTTCCGCGCTTCGCGCGGGAAGGGAAGGGGGTACTGAATTCAGACGAGGATTAAGAGTCGAGAACGGAACAACGAATCGTCTTCTTTTCTAATGATTTAATGAAACGTAAAAGTTTCCGCGCTTCGCGTGGGAGGGGGGAGGGGGGACTGAATTCAGACGAGGATAAAGAGTCGAGAACGGTACAACGAATCGTCTTCTTTCTCTAATGATTTTATGAAACGTAAAAGCTTCCGCGCTTCGCGCGGATGGGGGATGGGGGAACTGAATTCAGACGAGGATTATTTTCGAGAACGGTACAACGAATCGTCTTCTTTCTCTAATAGTGTTTATTGTTTGTTCGTTTGTGTGTGTGCGTGTGTGTGTGGTTGCGTGTGTGCATGTGTGTGTGTGCGTGTGTATGTTGTGTGTTTGTGCGTGCGCGATCGCGCGCGCTTGCGTAAATTAGTGTGGGCGTGTGCTCGTGCTGGTATGTGATGGCTATCGCCGATCATCCCCCCACTCCTCGGTACGGATTTACGCCCCTGGCTGCTATTATCTCCCAGGAAAGTACCCTATATAGTACATGTACATACTTTTACCGTGTGCGTAGGCCATTTAAGGGTTTTTAGAGGGTAGATTTTCCAAATACGAACTTGTTTATAATGCTTAAAATTTGTTTTTAATGTAATGGTAGTTGACATACTATAGCACAGGAAACCATTTATCCAGGCGCGTATCAAGGATTTTCCAATAGGGGGGGGGGGGCGGAAATTTGAAAATCGCACAGACCGTTATTTAATTAATTAAAGATCCCAATACCGACAAGGTCATATTAGAAGCACCGTACCGGTAACTACCAGCGGGCACAGGCTTTGGAAAGGGGGCAGGCTCACGCCACGTCACCGTCACTTTAAAGGTACCGGAAATACAAAGTTTTGGGAAATTTTGAAAATTGGGTGGATAGTGATTCTTTACAATTTTAATATGTTTGGATGCCCCTGGGGATGTAGAATAAGCACTAGAAAATTTAGCCCCTAAAACTTTAACAATTTACCGATGCTCCCGGTAAATTTTGATAAATTTCAAATTGCGCCTACGGCTGTACAATGGTAGCTGCGACCATGAAAATTTCAGAATATGTAGTTGTATATATGTAGTTGTATATGTATATGTAATTTCCAAACGGGAATAGCTAATTGGTTGATTTTAGACAAGAAACATTGTTTTAAAGCTTAATTAATATCTTGACCTTGAGAGGGAGCTATACAACATAAAGAGTTTATTATTTACAATTTCATAACTTTAGACTTAGATTTTAACCACGACAACGAGCACTGAATATTGTAGGATCGCATATATGCTTCCAATATGTTCATTTGAACCAAATTCATGATCCAATACCAAAACTTTGTATTACCTTTAACTTTGAAATTTGTTATCCAATGAATACAAAAGATATATCATGAGTGCTTTTACATGAACCCTTTTTAAATAAATAATATTATGCTGGATTCTGATCCAGATTGCACAACCTAAAATGATGAGATGGTCATCCCCAATACGCTTGCAGTTCTCAATTATGTGCACCCCTTCCTCCTTATTCCCTCATCTATCGTTACCGTCACTGCCATTGACGTATATGGCCGGCCCCCTCTTCAATAAAGGCTCCCAAGACTTCTGGAATAACCCAAAATGTTCTGATCACCATACTGCAGCACTTTGGAGGGGCCGGGCGCGGCCATTTCAGAAGTATTTTTTACTAACCTTTTTAGGCACTACGGCTTAAAATATTACAAGCATGCTTATAATTTTTTGAAAATAATCTGAATTCCGACTCAGTTTTGCACAACCTAAAAATTAGCCCCCCCCCCTCCTCCCCCCCCCCCCCAAGTTTTCCCCGTTTTCGTCGTTACTGTCACTAAGTGTCATTTCCTTGTCTTTCTTCCTTTCTCACCCGGCTTCTAGCTCTCTTCTTTCTCTTTTCTCTTTCTCTGTCTCTCTCTCTCTCTTTCTTTTCTTTTGTCTTCTCTTCTCATTTTTTTTCTTCTTCTTTTCCTCCTTTTTTTCCTTCCTCTTTTTTTGGCGCCGCCAATAGGGGGGGGGGGGCCGCGGCTGTTTCGGCCCCCCTTGGATCCGCCACTGGGGTAGTGATCACATTTTTTTTGTATGCCCTTGAAAACTTTAAAAATTTGCACCCCCCCCCCTTGGGCACCAGGGGGGGGGGCCATCCCCCCCCCCCCCCAAAAGGTAAAAATCACGTTTTTTTTTAGCGTCATGTAACGCCTGGCTGGAATGCTCCCAAGGGAGTGGAGATTGTGCACACGTACGTTGTGCATGCAAACACTGAAACCAATAGTATATTTGTAAAGCGCTTACAGACGGGGGGGGGGGGCACGTGACCCCCCCCCCCCCCATGCCTCCCAGATTTGCTCATTACGCCAATCGTAATTGAAATATTTTTTTTGGTAGAGGTGAATCGATTCGGATGTGATGGTTCGTCATTACGGAAATGAATTTGCAAGGAAGGGCACGCAGATGCAGTACCACGCTCCAGTGAACAGTACACATTTTATGTTACATAAAACATCCTAAGTCATTATATTCTTTCCAGTCGCAAAGCTATTAATAATTTGCCAGAAGTATATGGGAGAGTTTATAAAATATATATTTCATGTAATATTTTTGATGGAGTTATCAACATAATTCTTTATATTATATTAATACATTGTTGAATCAGAAAAAAGTAATTTCGTGACTTCTGTTTTCAGAAAATTATTACGACGGTAAATTTGAATATTCATCAAACACTGAAAAGAAGACTGCAGATGTTGATTTTTTGTTGTATAGTCTGCTACGTAGTAGTGCAGTATGAGCGGTACGGTGCTGCTGCTTTAGAGTTCCTCTTGCTCATGTTTATCGTTGTCTATCTCGTATTGCCATCGTCTGGATCTTGAAACTATACCTTCATTCACTACCCAAGTACTAAAGTAAGTAATTATAGTCGTCATTATTATTCCATTATGAATATCTTAGCGATTTTTGTTTCTGCTTAGCTTAGTTTGACCTATATTAGGATTACGCGTGTGTGTGTACTAGCGCTATAGCTAAAGCTAGAGTAAAATTAACTCCGGGAAGCTCGGCGCCGGTGTTGGAGCTTCCCGGAGTTAGAGTAAAATCACAAAAAGAAAATCATGTTTCGATCTTCATCCATCCCCGCAATAAAAGGGCACAATTTTGTTTGCTTTTCTCTTATTTCTTCTTCTTCATCTGCCTGCTCTTCCTCAACTTCTAGCTGTCATGATAATGAATATGTATCAGATTATGCAAATGTGACACCTGTGACCTCAGGAGGTCAGATCGCATGTGCGCGATGTATATGCGATACGCGTGACTTGATACCCAGTGCGGGGAATAAACACCAGACTATGGTTTATGGAATTCAACTACTTTGTTAGTTTGTTTGCACTTAATATGTGACATTGGCGACGAGGATTAATGTTTCTTGGATGTTGAATCTGTGGCTACGAGCTGGAAAAGTTTCAACATGGCATTCGCTGGAGCGGAATTGTTAGCGCTTCGAGGAGTTCCACACTTCGATCCGACGGGTGGTGCAAGTATTGTCAGCGGCAAGTGGAAAGCTTGGCTTGAAGAGTTCGAAGCCTATGCCGATAGTCGCGGCCTGTTTCTGGACGGATGTACGCCGGCCCAGGAGGCTCAACGGAGAGCACTGTTGCTGTACACTGCGGGGCCTGTGGTAAGGGAGACTTTCAAAACACTTCCCAATAAAGGAGAGAGGAATGAGTATCAAAAAGCCACAGATGCCCTAAATGCTCATTATGTTGTCAAACCGAATGCTACGTTTCAAAGACATTTGTTCAGGAAAACAAAGCAGGAAGATGGTGAAACGGTTGCCCAATTTGTTACCAAATTACGACAGGTTGCTATTGGATGCAATTTCGTAGCTGGGGATGTAGAAAACCAAATTCTTGACCAAGTAGTTCAGTACTGCAGAGCTGATAAACTTCGCAGGAGAATGCTGGAGAAAGGAGGTGAGCTCAAGTTAAATGATGCATTGTCCATGGCTGCTGCTCTAGAAGCTGTTGAAGGTCAATTTAACTCCATGTCATTGAGAGAGAGAGAAAGGCCTAGAGCTGGTGGGCAAGGTCAAGTGAATCAAGTATCGTACGAGAATGACAGAAAAAAGAATTTGGAATGCTACCGATGTGGGAACAAAGGACATTTTGGGAAGGATGCATCATGTCCAGCCAAAGGAAAGATCTGTCGGAAATGTGGAGGCCAAAACCACTTTGCGACGATGTGCAAAAGTAAGGCCAAGAGCACAAGTGAGGCGAGAGGAAAATTCAGAGATGGGAAGTCCAGAGATGGAAAGAAGTATAAGAATAGAGTTCGCCAAGTGGAAGGTGAACCCAGAAATGATAGTGATGATGACAACAGCCGTGGCCGTGAGGAGCAGAGGTACTATCAATTTGCTGTGAATGGTGATCATGAGAAAGTCCCAATAATCATTGGAGGTGTCACAGTCCCAGTGATAGTAGATTCGGGAAGTGATTGCAATGTAATAGATCAGATATTGTGGGAGAAACTGAAGAAGGACAAAATCATCTGCAAATCTACTAAGAGTACCAAGAGGCTTTATCCGTACACATCACAGATACCATTAACAACTGTTGGATGTTTCACAGCCACCGTAGAAGTTGGCAAGATGAAGTCGACTGCAGAGTTTGTTGTCATCAAAGAAAAGGGAGAACCTTTACTGAGCAAACATACGTCTAGAGAGCTGGGAGTGCTCCAGGTGGGAATTGTACATGTAAATGCGGTACAGAGTTATGCAGGTTTAAAGCATGAGTTTGAAGCAGTCTTCAAAGGAGTAGGGAAGTTGAAGGGCCGACAGGTGCGGTTAGCAGTGGATGAAACGGTGAAGCCAGTGGCCCAGCCTGTGCGAAGGACTCCATTTGGACTGAGAAAAAAGGTCGAGATGAAGATTGCGGAATTGATCGATCTCGACATCATTGAGCCAGTTGAACGCTCCACGCCATGGGTAAGCCCAGTTGTCATAGTTCCAAAGAGAAATGATGAAATCAGACTGTGTATCGATATGCGTAGAGTGAACGAAGCAATCATAAGAGAACGTCACCCCATTCCCACTATTGAGGAAGTCCTACAGGAGCTGTCGATTAGCAAGGTCTTTTCGAAAATAGACCTGAAGTGGGGGTACCACCAACTGGAGTTACATCCGGAGTCTAGAGAGGTGACAACCTTTGTCACTCATTGTGGGTTGTTCCGCTATAAGAGACTGTTGTTCGGAATCAATGCTGCTCCAGAGATTTATCAATATGAGATACACAGAGTGATAGCTGGGATAGAAGGAGCTGCGAACATATCAGATGACATCATTGTGCATGCATCGACCCAGAAAGAGCATGACAAGAGGTTGAAGCAGGTGCTTGGCAGACTGCGGGACGCAGGACTTACTGCAAATGCAGAAAAGTGTAAGTTTGGTGTCTCTGAGTTGGACTTCATGGGGCACAGACTGACTAGCGAGGGACTCAACCCAGGATTGGCCAAGGTGAAAGCAATTGCAGAGGCCCGTGAACCCCAGACTGCAACTGAGATGAGAAGTTTCTTGGGGCTAGTCAACTACTGCGCAAAGTTCATTCCGAACTTTGCTACATTGGCAGATCCACTGAGAAAGCTGACCAGAAAGGACACGCCATTTCAATTTGGTCATGAACAACAACAAGCGTTTAAGGCGCTGAAGGAAAGCTTAATGAGTGCAGAGACCCTGGGCTACTATGATCTAAATGCACCGACAAAGGTCATAGCGGATGCCAGTCCAGTTGGCTTAGGAGCAGTGCTGGTGCAGGTGCATGCTGATGGCCCGAGGATAGTAGCATATGCCAGCCGCTCGTTAAGTAATGTTGAAAGGAGATACTCTCAGACGGAGAAAGAAGCCCTTGGACTTGTGTGGGCTTGTGAAAGATTCCATGCGTACCTGTATGGAATAGAGTTTGATCTAGTGACTGATCACAAACCGCTTGAAGTCATTTATTCACCAAGATCTAAGCCATGTGCGAGAATAGAGCGGTGGGTTCTGAGGCTTCAACAGTACAAGTACAGGGTAGTCCACATCGCAGGAAAGTCCAACATAGCAGATCCATTGTCAAGATTGCTGAAGGATGATCAACCGAGAGAAACTTCTGTGTTGGAAACAGAAGCAGAGAGCTTTGTGCGTTTTGTGGCAGTCCAGTCAACGCCAGGTGCGGTGACAACGAAGGAAGTCGAAAGAGAATCTGAACATGATCCTGAACTCGAAGTTATCAGAGAGTGTATTCACAGTGGACAATGGGATGATTGTCCATACAAAGCATACATTCCCATCAAGGATGAACTCTGTATAATTGGTCAGTGTGTGCTGAGAGGTAGCAGATTGGTGATTCCACAGGCACAGAGGCCAAAGATGGTGTCATTAGCTCACGAAGGACACCTGGGCATTGTTGGCACCAAACAGAATTTGAGAACCAAGGTATGGTGGCCAGGATGTGAGAAAGATGCAGAGAAATTCGTCAAGACTTGTCATGGTTGCCAAATCACAAGCAGGGGTAATCCACCAGAACCAATTCGAAGTACTATGTTGCCAACAGGACCTTGGGTGGATGTAGCTGTTGATTTCCTAGGACCACTTCCGACAGGAGAATCTATACTTGTGGTAGTTGATTATTATAGCAGATACTACGAGTATGCAATCATGAAATCAACCACTGCAGAGAAAACAGTCAAAGCCCTGGCTGAAATCTTTGGCAGACATGGGTTACCTGTGACGTTATACTCAGACAATGGACCCCAGTTCATCTCAGAAGTTTTCGCAGAGTACATGAACATTACAGGAATTCACCACCATCGGGTGACTCCTAAATGGCCCCAAGCCAACGGCGAGGTCGAAAGACAGAACCAGAGTATAGTGAAAAGACTTAGAATTGCACAGGCAGAAGGCAAGGATTGGAAGGAGGCCTTGCTGACTTACGTTGCAGTCTACCGGGCTAGTACTCATTCGACAACGGGAAAAAGCCCGGCAGAAGTGTTGTTCGGGAGAAAGATCCGAACTAAACTACCACAAATCCAGGACATTAGTGAGGATCAGGAACTCAGAGACAGGGACCTCCAAATGAAAAGTGGTGCAAAACACTATGCAGATCTGAAGAGGGGAGCCGTACATTCTGACATAGTGCCAGGAGATAAGGTGATAGTAAGACGTGATGAAAGGAGGAAATTAGACACGCCATACTTTAGCCAGCCATACACAGTGACAGCAAGAACAGGAAGTATGGTAACTGTGAAATCTCCTGACGGAGTCCTGTATAATAGGAATGTATCAAGTGTAAAAAGATACATGTCCCGAGACACTCATAACGAAGCTGCCAATCCAGAGAGGACAGACGGCAATCCTGAGGCGGTGACCGGTATTCCTGAAGGGTCGGACGGTAATCCTGAGGCGGAGACCAGTACTCCTGAGGCGGTGACCAGAGATCCAGACTCAGAGGCAGCGAGCAACACATCAGGCGGTGACCAGAGACATCAAGATGGTGATACCCAAGCAGAGACAACAAACACCAACGTTCCTATGGCAGCTAGTAGACCACAACGCCAGAGAAGATTCCCTAAGCGATATGATGATTTTGTGTGATTCCAGATCAATATGGTGGGGATGAGCTCTTTGTAAAATAGCGACAGTGATATCTGAAACTACATGTGCCAAGGAGAAATGTTTGGAAATCATTGGTTGAAGCCAAGTTATGATTTAAAGGGTGTACGCCTTGCGCTGCCCATATTTGTGAAATCGACATGTTGGAGAAATCACCATGGAAACCAAGCGGACGAGGAAGTTGTGTTATGTGCTAAAATAATAAGTTCTGATATATATGTTTCAATATTACACATACATTAATCAATGTAAAAGGGTGTACGCCGAACGCTGCCCTTATTGTATGTGATAGGTGTTGCGAAAAACACAAGTTTGAGTTGGAGCATCGATCAGTTTTCAAAAATGGATTCAATCATCGAAGAGAGTATTTCCAGAAACTTCAGTTTCAGCTAGTCGTATGAACGCGTGGAGATAACAGATGATTTACACGAACTCAAAACTAGAACTCAAATAGTATCCAGTGAACAGTTGAACTTTTATTTGGACCACAGACTAGATGCATGAAAGATAGTGCATGAAAGATATTATATTGCATGTTATGTTTTATGTTGTTCAACAAAGTTGTTTGGAAGATAAAACATTTGGGAAAAAATTATCGACCAGATAAATTTGTTGTTTGTTAGAAGTTGTTTTTAAAAAAAAATAAATAAAAAAAAAAAAAGGAAGAAACAAAAGCAAATGCACCAAAGCATGTTTATTTCAGTAATTCACATATGGCTGAAACACAAGAACAAAAGAAATATTACAAGAATTTTCAGTGAAACTATAGTATAAAAATAGACCAGGATAAAGTTTCATTCTGGCAAAGGAGGGATGTCATGATAATGAATATGTATCAGATTATGCAAATGTGACACCTGTGACCTCAGGAGGTCAGATCGCATGTGCGCGATGTATATGCGATACGCGTGACTTGATACCCAGTGCGGGGAATAAACACCAGACTATGGTTTATGGAATTCAACTACTTTGTTAGTTTGTTTGCACTTAATATGTGACACTAGCGAGCTCTTCTAGACCTACTTCATTATTTAATTCTTCTTCTCTCTTTATACTTCAGCTAATATAGCTCTTCCGCGCAGAACTTTATGCATCAGGCCTATATCACCTAGGAAGTTGGAATCCCCTGCTATAGGTCTATAACCTTTTCTTATCTCCAATTTGTTTGTATTAAGCCTACTGTATGGCTGATATATTGCATGTGTACTCTCTTTTAAAGGTAAAAACCAGTATTGGAAATGCCCCAATTTCAAAAAATGAAATGGAAGCTCATGTGAAAGAATAGATCTATGTTTTAACCAATAGGGCCTAGATCTACATGATGATACAAATTTTGCCGGGAAACCGCGTACTAATTGATATAGATCTATTTGGTAAATTAGTTTATCCATTGGTGTGTGAGATAAACGCACGTGTCCCGCATGTGTGCGTAGTCCCATATACATCTTTCTGTGTACAGTGCTTGTAACTTTACGAAGACTGGGCCAAATTTTGATGATTCCAGAACCTCGCAGTACACACCAATACTTATATGCTAGATGATCAACCTTTTCTGATCGATTCCACAACATTTCCTTCACAATGCATTTGCATGACCATAACTGGTCTTTATCTTTAAAGAAGTGTTGGTAGACAATATAGCGTGGATGTGTTCTGAAATGACATTTTACTGACCTATTAAACAATACAGATACAGATACAGTGTATATAAGATATGTGTGGCTGAAGAGGGTTCAATATTGCATGTAGGACTCTGCCATTTGCCCTTTTGACATTTTCTCAATATTTTCTCAAATTTAGGAAGGGAAGACATTCAAATAATCCATTAAGATGCAGTCAAACATGGTCATCTATTTGGTCATGGTCATCATGGCAACCATGTCCTTGAGCGTTCTTGGACGTGTAGTGAGCAATAACCATGGAAACAAGCTGACCATGAAGGATGAGCTGCCCTCTTTCTGCAACGACCTTGACTGTCCGAAGTACACTGTCATAGATGATACACATGAGGTATTTTTTTTCATCTATTCTACTATTTTTTTTTTCTTCTTTTTTCTTCTGAATGACAGCCTGGAATTCTAATATTGTTCACAATTTACCTGATTTGAAAATATCAGTATTAGATATGACTGAAAGAAATGATGCACAGCAAGATAAATCACTGAACCCCCTCAAAAAAGCCAGTTTATTTTGTCAATGAAAATATATATTCATGAAGATATGTACTGGTATAATGTGAGGATACAAATATTAAGCCACGGTTGCGAACTAATTGAAATAACTTACAACCTTTGACATTTATAAACAAGATAGTTTTGGAGGTGAAATATATGTTCTGTGTTATTATATTTAATTTAATTTTTTTGTGGGGGCGTAATTTAAAGTGTTTGTTTGGTCTTGGCTCTGAATGGAATGAAAGAGTATTGATTTTACCATGTAATATCAGATTCATGTACCTTTCATTCACTTAAAGCTTATCTGTAATAGTTTAAAGGAGGGATTAGACCACCCTGCAAGGTCACCGGACAGGTGGTTATCTCATCAACTCAGTTCTAATTAACATAAGAAAAAGAGGATCGTGGGGAACCAATGGTCACCGATTAGGCATTGTTTTCTATATAGAGGAAGCAAGTAGCTACAAGTAGGACAGTTGGGCTTTAAAGACTGCTTACATGTATATTAACTTTTGAGATGATTTATTAAAGCAAAATCTTTCTCTCTAACATCAGACTTGGGAGGAGCGTCTATATTCCCCAGCTAGCTGGGTGGGCACCAGCTTGAACGGAGTAGACTTTGACAAAGCAGGAGAAAAGATGTTCATGAAGCTTTTTGCTTACATCGGGGGAGAAAATGAGCTAGGTAAGGTCAACACTCTAAAGAAAGTAATGCTAAACCAGTCCTTTCCCAGTATGACACTTATGCAAATTTTAAACAACAGCCATTGTCAAGGCAAAAGACGGTTGCAAATTGCAAAGCATGAAGTGGTGTGTCAGTTGTTTCACACATTATTTAGTATCTTGGAATAATGAATTTAAAATAATTTTTCTTTTATTAATTGATTTTTAGCCAAATATTTGAGTGATATTTTAATTCAATTTTGCATGATGATAACATTTTTATTTCCAAAGCTTTATATTTATATGAAAGTGTGATTTTGATTTGTAATGTTTATGTAGTTGTCAATTTTCTCTTTTTGTATTAATCCATGATCCTTTTTATAACCATGTTTTCATTGTAAACATTGAGCAATTAGGCGCTAGACTTCTACTTTTGCATGTTTAATAAACCGCATTGAATTGAATTGACTTGAATCAAAGTAAATTAAATAATTCTTTATTTTCTAATGCAGTCAAACTAGCAATAATGGTCATCTTTATGTATCCCATAACCACACTATCCTCATTTGTGTTTCTTCCTCATATAAGAAAATATGTTATTTTATTTTGATTTATGAATTTCATCAGCAGAATATTGTTTGATAGTTTAAGTTGACGTGCATTTTATATCTACTAGGAAATGTTGCAGAAATTGAAGAAAACAAATTAAAAAATGATTTTCCTACTCTGCATACCTCCCTGATTGTTGCTTGCACAAGTCACCAAATAAATCTCATTTTTATTTAATGAAATGATTGGATTTGTGCCGATATTCCCAAATAACAAGTTCTTATACTTTTGTTTCCTCACTTTAAAGGAGTTAAAGTCGAGATGGCAGTTCCTGTCATTACAAGAGCCACCATAGATGCCAGGACTGGACTGTTCGTCAACAACTACACCATGTTCTTCTATCTGCCTTACAAGTACCAGAACATCACCGCCCTTAAACCAACAAATCCAGACGTCTTTCTTTGGACGGAACCTCAGAGCAAGATCTTTGTTCGGTATTAAAGCCTCCTTGTGATTTTCTACATAAATTTTTGGATACTACATGCATGCCATGAAAAAATTAGGCTGTGAAAAATGTGTGTTGTATCAAACTGAAATGATATTGTTAAAAGCCATGTATACATGTATCTCTGGGTCTATACAATTTGCTAAGAAATAAACGATGGTAGGAAGTATGTTCAATACTTACGAGAGTTCGATCTAGATCTAGAGTTATGTTGGTTCTAGACTAAGACCTTGCAGGCTTACCAAAAAGTCAATGGGATTCATTGCCTTGATTAAAAATAAAATCCATACAGTGGGTCTAGAGATGAGTATACATCAGACAGCTGAAATTCCTGGCTTCATTATAAAATCCAAAAGTCAAAACAGGCCTAAATCCAAGGCAAAAGTAAAATAAAAATTTGCTTTTTAATAATACCCCGCTCTAGCTAGCTAGCTAGAGCTAAGCTACGCATACGTTGCGCTGGGGATCATGGTGGAGCGTGCAATATTAGCTACGCGTAGCCTACAATAATTGCAATGCACTCGAAGGAGCGCGTACTAGACGTACGCGTGCGCACTGGATCTCCATGGTCATGTGTATCATAACTTTTTTGTGCTTTTTCTGCACTCATTTCTGCAAAATCGTGCTTGCATAAAAAATTTGTACATGTCATGTGACGCGTATTGACCAATCACGATGCTTAAAATACTAGAGCCATTTTATAATTCAAATTACCCTAAAAATCACATAGTAGTTAAAAGCTATGAAAAACATTTCATATTGTCCATTGTATTTTTTGTAGCTTTTTATGCCTCCGCCACCGAAGGTGGTGCCGGAGGCATCATGTTTTCGGGTTGTCCGTCCGTACGTCCATCCCGTTTGACCGTTATCACAATATCTCAAGAACCATTTAAGATTTAAACTTAAGACTCGAGAATAGTATTTATCACCATATGAAGACGATCTGATTAGATTTTGGAGCACGTATGTCAAAGGTCAAGGGTCACAGAGGTCAACTTATGAAATTCCATACATTGAGATTGTTATCATGATATCTCAAGAACCACTGGAGATTTAAACTTCAAACTTAGTGATAGTGTGTAACACTATAGGAAAAACAATCTGATTACATTTTGGAGCACGTAGGTCAAAGGTCAAGGGTCATAGAGGTCAACTTCTGAAATTCCATACATTGAGATTGTTATCATGATATCTCAAGAACCACTGGAGATGTAAAAACTTCAAACTTAAGGATAGTATGTATCACCAAAGGAAGACGATCTGATTAGATTTTGGAGCACGTAGGTCAAAGGTCAAGGGTCACAGAGGTCAACTTATGAAATTCCATACATTGAGATTGTTGTCATAATATCTCAAGAACCACTGGAGATTTAAACTTCAAACTTAATGATAGTGTGTATCACCATAGGAAGACAATCTGATTAGATTTTGGAGCACGTAGGTCAAAGGTCAAGGGTCACAGAGGTCAACTTATGAAATTCCATACATTGAGATCGTTATCGCGATATCTCAAGAACCACTGGAGAATTTTCACTTCAAACTTAATGATAGTATGTATCACCATATCATAATATCTCAAGAACCACTGGAGATTTAAACTTCAAACTTAATGATAGTGTGTATCACCATAGGAAGACAATCTGATTAGATTTTGGAGCACGTAGGTCAAAGGTCAAGGGTCACAGAGGTCAACTTATGAAATTCCATACATTGAGATTGTTATTATGATATCTCAAGAACCACTGGAGATTTAAACTCCAAACTTGTTTAAATTGCTCTATGGCGGAGGCATCATTTTCGACTGCGCGCAGTCAAAATTCCATCTAGTTTATTAATCTTTCCAAATATGAAGCTCTAAACAGTTATTATTGCAAATTTTGAGACACAGTGAAAAATGCTCTATTATACTTTACCTACCACTTTTCAAGATCTAAAACATTTATTTTTTTAAGGACCAGTATTTGATTTTTTTAATTGTTGTCAGATTTTATATCATTGAGTAATGTCAGCTGATGTCTTATAATATTCAGATTGTGTTTTGTTTTCAGCTCTCTTATGGGCATAATTTCATCATTTTAATGTTAAGTTGATGTGTTGTGGACTAGTTGATAAGTCACTCGACTGCAGATCACAGGGTACAGGGTTCAAGTCCCGCCGCAGTACTAATGTCCTTTGGAAAGACAATAATCTACATTTGCCACTCTCCACGCAGGTGTAAATGGGTACCCGATATGCTTGAGCGCTAGTTACTTTGGCAGCTCGGCTATGACCAGGGTCCTATGTGTAAAGCACCATGAGCGTCAGAACCTGACGGATACTGGGGCTATGTAAATAACCATTTATTGTTATTATCTCTCAAAGATCTTTCTCTGGCTACATGTCAGAGACGAAGGACCTGTTCAACGCCGGAGCTATGGCAGCCGATCTCAAGGACGAATGGGACTACGATCATGGCTACATCTACACCGCAGGCTACGACTCGCCGTGGAAGATCTTTGTGAGGCACAACGAGATCTGGTTTGTTGGCAAGAACTAAATCTACTCTTGAATCTCGTGAAAAAAAGAAGGCATCTTCATGCATGCCATGACTGTTTAGTCTATGTTTCACTAGCGATTGACTTCAATGGGGTGTTGGGTGGAATTAAGAATTTGTGTTTCCTGGAAAGCCCACATTTGATATCAAATACTCATTTTGGCAAAATAGAGCAATAAAGAGAACAAGAAAAGCATATACTGTATGTTCATGTATAGAAACTTTTTAAGCAAATAATGTCATCGCGGATCTATTGCAGGGTTTTATGTATCGTCTGCTGAGTGCCAGAAGAGCATTAAAGCTCTTTAACATTGTGTGGGTTAAAGGCATCGTTCAGCAATGTTAAATCTTGAGATGCACGGCCCTATATGTTATCAGTGTCTGTGTTATGGTGTAATATTGAAGTCTTAAAAAAATTACGCTTCAAAATGATCAAAAAGTGCCTGAAAAAGTAAAAATCTTCGAGTGACCGGGTTAAGCATACTCGTCTTTTCCAATAGTCTGTAGTGTCATTAAAACCATTAGGAATATGCAAAATTTGATTTTGATTTCCAATCATAAATATCTTGATAACCAGACAGGCGATCGGCTTGTAAAAGTCATGGGGTTCCTGACTGACCTAAAGGTTTATAATTATCATTGCAGCATGGGCTAAATCCAGGATTTTGTTTCAGAATCTGAGGCAAAGTTACTCAATCCCTTTAATGACCTTCTCACTTCTCTGCAGAAAACATGTGATCAAGCGAGAAAGCACTTATCGAGTGTTACTCAGAAACGATCTTTGTATTCAAAATATATTTTTAAAATTGTGTAGTGAAATGTGACTTTTCCGATATTTAGTTATGAAAATGAACATTGTTTAAATATGTCTTTCTATTGAACAAGGAAAATGTATAATCAAAGTATGTAATGACATCAAATGTCTTTAAAAGCTAGCTCTTAATTTTGCAAGTATAGTTTTATTGTATTATGTATATTTCTTCAATAGTCCAGCATTGTTATTATGTAATAATGTAACTGTTTTATAGAACAAAGTTCTTTATAATGAATAAACATCACACACAGAACTTTTGCAATTTCTGAATGTTTTATGTAGAGAAAACACCCTTCATCAACAGTTTGCCAAAGATTATGGTTTAACAATTTTGCCAACATTCATCTACAGTGTTTTGTGAAAGATTGATCAGGTATAACTATGAAAGTCGATGTGACATGAGAAAATGAAGAGCAAGTATTTTTGTTTGAAGGACCATTAATACTGAATAGTTTGAGACTGAATTACAGAGGGGACAGCAACTGATGCTGTGTGTATGAGGTAAATGAGGAGGACAGTGGAAGTGGGATCGATCGAGTGGATAAAGAGTTTAAAAGCATAAAATAATAGAAAAGGAAAATACATTTTGTGTAATAACATGATTTTTGTTCATTTGGTTACAAAATTTGTGTACAATTTGTGTGGGAAGACAAGTTGAAAACTTTACACTCTAGAAATCTTTAGAAAACTTCAACCCCCTAAGCATGGGTAGTAACTTGGTCTAAATTTCGTTCAATTTGAACAGTGCCAGCTAAAGAAGTTGAATAAAATTTAATCAATATGACACAATAATCCACAAATAAACATTTTACTTGTTGCAGTTTTATAGATAGACATATATTTACATCCTTGTAAAAATGTGCAATTTACAGTTCCTTTTATACAAGTTCATTTACAAAATATACAGTGTGGAATATACATCAATGTACATCAATATCTCTAGGACATCAGCATTTGTTTTGTTTAGAGTACAATTAATATTCACTTCATGATACAGCTTAGGAAAATTTTGAATAAATACTGTTATTTTGTTGTTATCCTGGTAAGACATTATGCATACTGTAAACACAAAGGCAAGCAAATAAGATTACGGTAATTTACTTAATATTTCATCGATCATAACTGTAGCAATTATAGTTTAATCAGCGAAGGCCACATAAATTCTTGAGTATGTCTTTGAGAGACAAGTTTCTATACTCCTCTAGAGAGATACTAGTTTATAACTCCATTATTTTAACAAGAAACAGCAGAAAATTCTACAAAAACTAACTTGTGGTTTATGCGATAACTTCAACTGGAATTTTCTAGTTCTTTTATGGTTTATTTCCATTCAAGCTGTTAATACTTTATCTTTTATTAATTCATGAAAGACATCAGTAAAGACATGAACATTTAATTTATACTCTCGTTTACATAGCAGTTGTTACATGTACGATGCATTTTATCTGCAAAGATAAAGCACATTTAAAAAACAATATCAACAGATAGTTATTATGAATTAAGATTATTCATGGGCTACAAAATAAGTACTCTGTTTTCATCTAACTGAGCATTATCATGGCAATCATATGGAGTCACAATTGCAAATACAATCACAAATTCACACTTCGCATGGAATCACATTTCTATTTGTTTCCCCTACCTGTAAATACCTACATATAAAAAGTGGATAGTTTACATGTCATATATACAAATAATTTAATCATACACAAAATATAAACAGTAATAGAGTTGTTGTCATTTCACATCACACAATAAAATGCATATTACGACTAGCAGAAGATTAAATACTATTTGGAAAATGTGAGTAATCAGGATACATAAGTTGCACACATTCATCACAAAATTCCAATATCATATTCCTCAATCAACTATAAAGTCATATGAATAAATAACTTTGATAAGGCTTTTGAATATTCCACTATAAATCTCCTAAATAAGTAACATTTCATAATATTGAAAGTTTGAATATAGAAAGCTATGACAGCTTTTATTAAAACATTGAATAGCCCATTAAAGATTCACAGATGTGCAGTAAATTGTAAATTATCATCTTATTTAAGAAGTCTGTATGAATGCAACAATTCATCAATAAATACACCATGAATATAAATACAATGGCAATTTTAAAATTAATTGTAATACAGGATTCATGAACTAAATTGACTGAATAAAAAGATACAACATTATAGATATCCAGCAAATAAGTCCTGTTGTTATGCAGCCTGAATATGCCATGAATAAGTAGACATTTGGGCAAATTACACCATGCATGTCAAATTTAAGTCGTATTCCTGATTCTCTTTCTATTTAAGAAAGTTTCAGTGAATATATTGCCACCAAAGTTGTAAACTTGCATAAAGAAAATCTTACTTGATATTGCTTAATTACCAAGGTGAAAGTGTCCATTAAAAAAAGGTGGAAAATGCATGAGAAATATACAAGTTGCACATACTGTATTATGGAAGAAAATATTCTTTTAACAAAATACACAATTTCTGTTGACATCCACATGTACTAATTCACAATAATGATTTTTTTTTTCTTTCCTTCAAAATATCCCCTTTTTAAAGGATTCCTAATCCTTATGTTATTTAGAAACTACTTTTATGAATCTAACCCATTAAGTGAATTACTATACATTTTTTTCGCAATGTCATACTTCAGATATTCATGTTTGAGCAAAAATCGGGACCGCCAAACAATTCCTCATCTTAAATTCATCACTAAACATATATGATTTCATGGCAATGGAGTTATTCCATAAAATTCTTCATAAAAGTAGCAGGGGAAATTTCCCCTTTGGAATAGCATTAAAAAAAATTGAAATATTAGCCTTACAAAAGCAGAATTAAATTTTTACATGATGCACAGCTAGAATAAAAAAAAACATCACCTTTTCAAATTATGATTTTCATTCATTAAAAATAAAACTTCAATTGACCAATTAAAATGAATTTTATGTTTTGAAGATGCAAAACTAGAATATATTTTTTATCTATTAAGTATAAAGGCAGGTTAATAATAGGATTAAAAAAGAAGCTTTGAATAAATAATGGCAAACTCACTTTAAATGGAAGGCATATTCTATTGCATTGGTAATATGTAAACAAATTATCAAGGTGAATTTAAATGAGCTTCTGAAAGACATACTGCTTAAAAAGAAAAGGAAAAATCTGAAAATAAAAAATACTGTAAAATGTCTTACACTTAGCAATCCCTTGTATGTGTATGCATTCCAGTAAAAAAAGAAAAGAAAAGGGCAACGAAAACGTATGTTTAGCGTACAAGGTGATATTGAATGTTTAAAAAAAGAGCACCAACTTCATTCAGCCTTACAAGTCTGACCTGCAATAATATTAATAAGATATTTCTGTACCGCAAATTGCATATTGCATTTAAGCGGTTGAAGTAAAGTACATGAACATGCATATGTAAAATACTGTTTCACAAAATATTAGTGTATCTAGTCGCATTCTATTTTATCAATAAAATTCATCACTCCCTCCCCAATTAATCACATTCCAACATCTTCATCGCATAAATGATATCGATTCCAGGAATCAAAACAAATCTTTGATAAACAACACAAAGCTTCGAAAATAATATAGCTAATGATATTTGTTTGTCTCACAATGTATGGTCAACAAGGGATCTAACAGAGTTGTATACATCAGCAATCTCCAGACCTCGTGTTATTTCCAAAGTTTAATAACACATCAAGATTTTTCTCATGAAGTGGGCAAATTTTAGACTTTGCATGCAACACAAGGAGGAGCCAATGAATGTGAATCCAGTAAGTCACACATGAAATTAATCTGCAGCCTTGTTCAGTAAGTAGTTTCTTTGCCTGACTGAATAGCAGCACCTTCCTGAGTTCTAGTACAAAAATATAAACCTCATTCTAGCCATTGGTCAAATGAACATGTGAAAGTTATAGTAGCCTCCACTATCACAGTTGTCCAGTATTAAATCCATATCACTTTTTGTCACTCTCTATCAAGCTCAGACTGCACTTTGGAGTCCTGGCATTTCTTAATCAGCCAATGAGATGATCTGATATAAAGCTATCATCACATCTGGTTCCAATGTAGCCAGTGGGAAGCTTCCGTGTATCTTATCCATTTGGCCAAGTGACTCCCCCTACTGAATTTACCAAAGAGGAACATTCTTAAAAAGCTTTTAATTGATCTCCAATGCAGCTGGTTATATACCTCCACCAACATCTTTCTTGGCTCAATGAATTGTCTTCTTAACCCAGCAATCAGAGGGTATCATATACGCCTCTCATCTGGTTCCAGTTCAAAAGCAGCCAATGGCATGCCTCCATCTAACTCCTCTTTGGCTTAGCCCGACACCTTCCCAAATCCAGCAATCAGAAGCGCTCATATAAGCCTCTCATCTGTTTCCAGTTCAAAAGCAGCCAATGGCATGCCTCCATCTAACTCCTCTTTGGCTTAGCCCAACACCTTCCCAAATCCAGCAATCAGAAGCGTTCATATAAGCCTCTCATCTGTCTCCAGTTCAAAAGCAGCCAATGGCATGCCTCCATCTAACTCCTCTTTGGCTGGGTTATACTTGCCTTTCATCTTCCTGGATTGCCTTAGGTACCACCATGCACAGATGAAGAGTACGGCCAGGAGAACCAACACGATCACAAGCGGGACTATGATCACGATCTGGTTGGATGCCACTGCTGCCTTTTTGGTTTCACATTGTGAGCCTACCAAGAAAGAAAAGGAGAGGGCAGAGGTGAAAAGTCTTATTTAATGAAATTGCAATCAACATAATATTCTTTCCTTTGTAAATTATCTGTTACACTGACTCGGTGCCTGACATCGATATGATAAAGAGAAATAAGATGGAATATAATAAAATAATGACAAGAAAGGGTATTCATACTACATGAGCTCAAAATACAGGTATAAGGTTTCTTAAGTAACATGACATAACATAAAATGTAGCAATCAAATTTGAGCAGGAATTTTTGAAAGGATGCACATAACTCTGTTGTTCAATGACAAGGTGTTTAGAGAATTGCATTAAAATTTGCTCAAAATAACTCGGCAAAGTTTTTGCATCACAAAGAGATTTATTTCCAAACATATAAGAAATGGAATTCAAGTTTTTAGTGCGTGTGCTTTCAAAACATCATTGAATAAAAAGCATGATGAATTGAAGTCAAATACAGAAAGGAAAGAAAAATAAAAAACTGGTGAAGATCATACCTGTAAATTGATCTGTGCATCTACACTCGTATGTCCCTGCTAAATTCCTGCATGAACCTCCATTCTGGCATTCAGCTTGTCCAATGTCACACTCGTTGACATCCTGTATGCATTGAGACCCTTCGTATCCTGTTCCTACACAGTCGCAGGTGTACCCATTCGCTCTATCCTGACACTTCCCTCCATTCTGGCACGGCTCACTGGCACATTCATCCGAATCAAACGCGCACAGTCGCCCCTCATATCCAGAAGCACACTTGCATTCAAAGAATGGTCTGTTATCAATGCAGGTGGCTCCATTGAGACAGGGTTGGGTTGCGCACTCGTCAATGTTCCTGGTGCAGAAATCACCGGTGAATCCTGTCCCGGAGCAGTTGCAGGAGAAGGACCCATTGTCATTAATGCACTGACCTCCGTTGAGGCATACACCAGGCGTGAGGCATTCGTTGACGTCCTCCTCGCAGAGTCGACCTTCGTATCCAGTGTCTGTGCAATGGCAGGTGAAGGCATCCGTAGTAACGCTGCAGTCCTGCGCCTGGGAGCATAGGTTGCGCTGGCATTGCTCGTTCTGCCCGCAAGCCGTCAAGCCTACAGGTGCCATGGTGCAGTCACATGGCCCAATGTAATTACAACTTCCCCCGTTCAGGCAAGGATTGTTTGCACATGTATTGATGATCATGTCACAGAGAGTTCCCCCATAACCCAGAAGACAACTGCACTCAAAGCCATTATTCACAGAGTCCGTGCATGTTGCATTATTCTGACACAGACCCAAATCACACGTTCTTTGATCAAGCTGGCAGTTTGTCCCAGCAAAATGCATCGGACACTGGCACTGGTACTGATTCACCATATCAATACATGTTCCACCATTAGTACACGGTGAGCTGCTGCACTCGTTGATGTCTGTTTCACAGTGGATTCCTGTGTAACCTGGAACACACTGGCAGAAGTAACCCACAAAGAAATGTTGTCCTGGGGTCAAACTCTCCATGCAAGTGCCTCCATTTTTGCAAGGATTGGACACACACTCTGCAATGTCAAACTGACACAGGTCTCCTGTGTACCCAGCCAAGCAAACACAGGTGAAGTTCACCTCAGGCATCTGCAGATCATGGAAACAAGAGCCTCCATTAGCACAGGGATTGACGTCGCACTGGTTGATAGGCTCTTCGCAGTTGCGCCCTCTGTAGTAACGGCTGCACTGGCATGTGTAGCTGTTGCCATCTCTATGACACATGCCTCCATTCTGGCATGGATCTGCAAAACAGGCATCAGTCAACTGGCATAAGTTCCCATAAAACCCATCCTGGCAGTTGCAAAGGTAAAATGAATCATTCCTTATGCATTCAGCACCATTAACACATTCATGTTGAAAACAGGGATTGAAGATCTCACAATTCGTTCCTTCATAGAAATCCGGACATGTACAATTGTACTCTGTATTCTCATAGTTTTGAGCGCAGGCCCCACCATTCACGCAGGGGTTCTGTGTGCAGATTCGTTCATCGGTCAGACAGGTCTTTCCCGTGAAACCAGGTTGACAGGTACATGTGAAGTCCAGTGGGAAAACATGGGTGCAGCTAACTGTAGTGTCCGCATTGCAGGGGTCATTTTCACAGACATTGATCTCCGTATTACATAAACGATCAGTCAAGCCAGCGGGACAGGTACAGGTATAGTTCATGTGACCATCAACACAGGTTGATCCTCTCTGACATTGGTTACCTGTGGAAAAGTTAAAAAAAGGATTATAATTGAAGTCACTTTCCTTTTATATACAATCTGTAAAATGCATAATGACATTAACATTCATTTTTTGAACCTGTCCCTTCTCAAACTTTGTTTACACATGCTGCGGCATAAGTGAACGAACCTTAAATGGTAACTACGACATGAAGAGAAATAACAAAATAATCATAGATTAAATTGAAAATGACATTTACTTTTCCCTTTTTAACATATGTTTACATGCAAATATTAAGTACAAACAAAATAGAATTCCTATGCACCTTCCAAAACGGTTGATACACAGTTTCCCCCACGCAGTGTATATATTAAAGATAAAGACCAGTTTAATATGGTCATGCGATTGCATTGTCAAAGAAACGTTGTGGAATCGATCAGAAAAGGTTGATCATCACTAGCATATAAGTATTTGTGTGTACTGCAAGGTTTTGGAATCATCAAAATGATAAGAAATGTGGCCCAGTCTTCATAAAGTTACAAGCACTGTACACAGAAAGATGTATATGGGACTACGCACACATCCGCGACATGTGCGTTTATCTATCACATCCAAATAGATAAACTAATTTACCAAATATATCAATTAGTAGGCGGTTTCCAGGCAAATTTTTTATCATCATGTATTAGTCAAAACATATTCTTTCACATGATTGCTATTTGAGAGGGGGGCGTTTCCAAAACTGGTCTTTTCCTTTAAATGACCTACAAATACATGCTTCAACTGTTGACGTACACCACATAGAACACACATGCTTAGTTTCAATTTTTTCAATCGCCTCAGATATTGAAAATTCTGCAATCTACCACAATGAGACGAAACGGTCAAGATGACCGTCAACCATCCCAAACCATACCCATATGCTTTTCCCCCCATCATAACCCTCTTTACTCAAATTACCTATGCAGTCATCCACACTGCTCGCACAGTTTACTCCCTCCCAGCCATCCCTACAGTCACACCGATGGGCGTTCCACAGGTCAATGCAGTAGGCCGTCACTGGACAGGGGTCTGGATTACAGGCGTCCAGCGAGTTACAGCCGGTCTGGACGCTAAGTCGGTTGACCGTCAGACCCGGTTGGGGGTTGGTCTGGTCCGAGAGGTAGTGGAGTCTTTGACCGTTGACCGTCGGGTTGCGGATACAACCCTGCAGGAACATATCTGGTGGAGAGCCTATACAGAGTGGTAGTTAAAAGGTTAGAGGTTAGAGGTCAGACATGATTTATTAACATTTCAATAACATAGTAAGCCTATAAAAGAGAGATTGATTACCAGTAGTTTCTTCTTTGTTTCCCCTCTCCATTTTCCATATTTCCTAGGATTTCTTTGGGGTTGTGTTTGATGTTAATTGTAAATTGGGCATGCAGGGTAGATTGTTAGTGATTGCTAAATTGCACAAATTTGCCACAGATATCAGTCAATATCGTTATCAATATCAAAGTACTGTATGCATGACTAAAGATGACTATGGTGGCCAGTGTTTGTTCCAGGAGTCCCCAAATGCAAATAAAGATTTTAAAGAATTATTACCAGATCATGAAATGGGGGAACTCTTTTAACCTTATTTTTTCATCCAATCACCATGAACTATCAACAATTTCGTTCAGCTTCATACCTGGTGTGTTTGTCCCTCCTAGTAGCATAGCAACGATGGGGTTCCTTGTGCCACTGTGGATGGGGAAGTTCCCTTGGAGGGTGTAATTCTGTGCCCCATGGTACACAGTGACGTAGGACTGGTGTCTATCGATGGAAACGCTCTGCCACTCAGCATCAGTGACGTTGTCAGAGATGACCAGGGTCTTCAGGTCTACAATTTCCAGAGAAGAATGCGATTACTTTATAAATATCACATTGGAATGAAATATTGGACAGTCCTTAACAAATTATGCATACTCTAATATGTTAGTTAGATAGTGGTTGTGGTTATTTTACGTCTCTAGAACATTATAATGAAGCATATAACATAAATGATTCTTAAAATACAAGAAACGTAGAACAAGACACAATTCTTACCTGCTTCAAAGTAGGTCTGTAGTTGGAGGGAGCCATCAACGATGAGAAGCACCATGTCGTCCACCTGCCCATCACTGAGATGGAAGAACCGCATCAGCAGGATGATACCGGACCTGTCCCTGGTACGGAACTCAACCGAGAAACGGTCCCCAAAGGGGATGACGCCAGAGTCCAAGACTAACCGGGTGTAGCTTGAGGCACCGTTGTAGGTGGAGGATGTGGCTGTTTGAGTGAGAAAAGATAAGCGAGAAATGAAAACCGTCAACATGAATCAAAATAGCCAAATCAACTTTATGTACAATTAAAGCCCGTCTGCACTAGTTTGGCCAGGAGGGATCAGACCACCCAAGGGGTCATCAACTCAGCTCTCAATTAACATAAGGAAAAGAGGATCATGGGTTACCAATGGGCACCATTTAGGCATTGTTTTCTATATACAGTGTGAGTCAAAAAAAAGTTTACACTTAGAAAATTGCTAATTATTTTAAAAGTCATCTATGAAAATTAAATTAATATACATCTTATGAAAGATTGTTTCATCCCAATTCATTTGGTATCATTTTTGTGAGGTATGTATTCACGCTTGGATGAACAGGAGGCATTGTTTGCGATAGTGCAAAAATCGACGTGCGCCAAAGTTACTTATGTGATGTTTGAATAAAACAATTGGGATTTGGGTATCAATTCGGTCTTTGCAGATCCAAATAACATTACTTACAAAATTTATCATGCCACACATATCAAATGTCAACGAACATGTGTGTGCGTGTGTGTATGTGCGTGTGACTTTGCTTCTGCAAACAGCATATGCAATGCATTTCATTTGATACATTCAGTTCATTCTCTCACTTCGCTAATCCCAACATAATGCTGTAAGCATCACTTTTCACTGTTCATCCAAGCGTAAACAAATACCACACAAAAATGATACCAAATGATTTGGGATAAAACACCCTTTCATAAGATGTATAATAATCTACTGTTCATAAATGATTTTTAAAATAATGAGCAATTTTCAAGGTGTAAACTTTTTTTTGACTCACACGGTAGAGGGAGCAAGTAGCTACAAGTAGTACAGTGGGGCTCTTAAGAGCTGAAACACAATTTTAGTATGTACAGAAATTAATGTTTATTAGGGTTTCCTGGACTTCAGATCAATCTTGATGTCTTCATGATGACATTTTTATTACAAATAAACGGGCATATATAAGAGCATCAAAATTTTGGAGATTATAACTCCCCCCGCCCTTCCCCGATATATATTTATATATTTATATATTATGACATCTTTACAGTATCGTAAAGAAGTATGAACATTTCCAGTAATAAAGGTCAGTATGAAGAAAATGAGGTTGAAAATTAGCACCGCCAACTATATAATAGCAATGTACTTTACTCAAACTGGTATCAGTCTCAGACTTCAAAGCCTTGGACCCAGTTTTGGATACTAGACCTAATGGGTAATCAATACAGATGTAACCAGAGTTTTCTTCCAGGGGGTATTTCACAAAGATCCTAAGTTGGACTTAACAATTATGGCAAGTCATTAGCATCTTTAAAAATATTCTGTAAAAGTTATTTCAAAAGGCATAAAATGTTGATTCAAATCATTCATATTTTCTATTATCATGGAAGATTTCATGTTCTTGATGTGGAAATTATAAAAAGTCTCAAATATTTGAATTTTTGCTTTTGAATATATGACATTATAAGGCTACAAATGGCTCTCCATAATTTTTAAGTCCAACTTAGAGATAAGTTCAACTCAGAATCTTTGTGAAACACCCCCCTGGTTTTTGTGTTATAATCCAAGGTCTTGACAACATCATGGCTGCATGATACAGCTACAAATGGTGCATGATTATCATTCCAACTATTAAAATGCCATACCTTCATTACAATTCGGCTCTGTGAAATCCGGGGTACAGTCACAGGTGTACCCCTCCCAGCTGGGTTGGCAAGTGCCTGTATTCTGGCAGGGGGAGGGGAAGCAGTGGCCCTCCCTAGGGCACCCAGGGGATGCTTGAGGGGGGTCACTGCGTGACCCGTAGGGCGTGGCCTGCTGAAGCTCCACCCCTCTGCCATTGACTGACAGGTCTCGGATACATCCAGTGAAACTAGATAAGGAATGAAAGAAAGAAAACACTAAAAAATTAAGCTATAATTTAAAAATTGATGGATTTCGTAATCACTTTTGTATTATACTTTTTCTCTCCAAAATTGATAATCTCTACAGAAATTGAAGTAAAAGTCATAAAATAAGGATCAGGTTTAAAGAGGAATGGGATAATACTAATAATCACACCATTTCTTTGCGTGATCACAGATCCCAAGAGAGTATCTACATCATACTTGCTGAATGCTTAAGTATGAGCATTTTTTCTTGTCAATGATCTTTTCAATTGAATTCTTAATCAATCAATTAACAAGATTTGATACAATCTGTCAAGCAAGGCAACGTAAAGAGGACTTTATCTTGGAGCCAAGCAGTAGTGTATATTTGATACAGTGAGCAGCTACATCTTAACTTGAAGAAAAAAAGGACGATATCATTAATAAGTTATTTTAATCAATTGAAACCATGACACTTTAAATACAGTCAAACCTGTCTACAGCAACCGCCCAAGAGAAACAAAAAAAGTGGTCTTTGTAGACAGGTTCCTTTAGTATATGTTTCAATGAGAAACCATTTTCAAAGGAAACAAAAAATGTGGTCTTTTAGACAGGTGGTCTTTGTAGACAGGTGGTCACTTAAGCAGGTTTGACTGTACATTGTTAGTCATATCTTTTTAACATATTTACCTTGATGTTGCTGGCAGAGTAGATGACAGGGGCACAAAGACACCGCCTGGATGTAGCTTTCCGAAAAGGATTGGCATTGCGAGGTCAACAGAGGGCGGTGCCAATATGGTACCTTGCTGGACTGCTCCAGATTCCATGTCAGTCACTGACAGAATTAAAAGAAGTGAAAAGGAGCAAATTATTGTTTGATGAGGCAGCCTCCAATTCTTTAATATATAACAATGTACCCCTAAAAAATTACATTCCAATGTGTGAAAAACCACCTCGAACTGTTATTAAGATACAATGTCCCATTTGCAGCCAACCTCAAATTCTGTAGAACTTTGCAGGAATTATGAATACGTCATGTATGTCCTATCTGTGAAATTTAAATGTTAGCAGTGTCCTAATATTCAAACTATGCAAGGAAACCCGTTTACTTGCTAGACTTCACTGTCAGACACTATTGTCAGTATTGAGTGAGTGACTGGCTTTTTTTCTTCTTTGGTAATAACATACAAAAAATGAACTGTAAAGGATTTGTCTACATCAATAACCCACTTCTTGTAATGGCCAAAATTAAACTGATTAAATCTTTCTGCATCATAAAACGTACGACCATGCAGAACAATGGTCTGAAAATGAAGACTATTACTTATTGGCTCTATAGCTCCTAAGTCGATTTGACAACTAATAGTCGTTATTTTCCCACTTAAAGACATTTTTAAGCCCCCTTTTTTTAAGGGGAGTTCTAAATTAGTATTATCTTTCGAATGCCATTGGAATTTAACATTTTCATTTTTTTGGCCTGCAAATGGGACATAGTACCTTTAACCAATATGTGAAACACTAATAAAAAATTTACTTTTTGTCAGCAGGTATAGCATGATGATCACTTGGAATGATTTTTCCCCTCAATAATGATTCAGTCTTGTAAGATGAAAATATAGCTATGAAAGATATTTCTAAAGAATCCATAAAACCTTCAAATACATTGAGATAATTAAATACCATATGAAAAATGTAATCATCAAGATTCAAGATTCAAGATTCAAGATAATTTATTGTCTGATTTTAAAAATACAAAAAATTTGTCCTCCACTGGCGAGTGACGTACATATACAGACATCATAAACAATATATAAATACATTTGAGGATACAAAGAACATACAACAATAATAATAATAGCAATGACAAAACTGACATGTAAACTTGAAAAATCATCCAATGACATTTAGTTTTAATTTCTTCTTAGATATTCAATAGAAATGAACCTTGGTAAAGTTTGAAACTACTCGGATAATCAAGTGTACAACACATGCTCCAGTGACAGTTCCTCCTTGGCCAATTTCTAACACGCCCAGGGGGGTGTTTCACAAAGATCCTAAGTCGAACTTAACTCTAAGTTGGACTTTAAAGTTATGGAGAGCCATTTGGAGCCTTGATATAAAATATATTCAAAAGCAAAAAAGGAAGTATTTTAGATTTTTTATAAATTCCACATCAAGAACATGAACTCTCCCATGATAATAGAAAATATGAATGATTTGAATCAACATTTTATGCCTTTTAAAATAACTTTTACAAAATATTTCAAATATGCTAAAGGCTTTCCATAATTGTTAAGTCCAGCTTAGAGATAAGTTCAACTTAGGATCTTTGTGAAACACCCCCCAGAATGACTAACTCCAAACCCAGACCTAAAATGCAATCAAACCACAACTGAAGCTCTAACCCTGTATATCTTAACTTTAATAAGATAGAGAGAGAGTCAATATCAGATGCCACTGAAGCAAATGCCTAATCACCTGTTAAGTGATAACGATTGTCGGTATTAAAGTGACTCGGTAACACTGCCTCAGATTCTGAAACAAAATCTTGGATTTAGCTCATGCTGCAATGATAATTATAAACCTTTAGGTCAGTCAGGAACCCCATGACTTTTACAAGCCGATCGCCAGTCTGATTATCAAGATATTTATGATTGGAAATCGAAATTTTAAAATGCGTTTTCCTAACGGTTTTTATAACACTACAGTTTATTGGGGAAAATGAGTATGGAAAACCGTTCACTCAAAGATTTCTCCTTTTTTAAGGCATTTCTTGATCATTTAGAAGCGCAATTTTTTTAGGGTTTCAATATTACACCATATCGCAGACACTGATAACACCTAGGGCCGTGCATCTCAGATTTAACATTGTTAAATGATGCCTTTGAAGAGAAAGTGAGTTTGGTTTCTTTTCAGCTCACCTTCGATCACTAGCTGGAGCTGCTCAACGATACTGAGTTCCAGTGAATACCATCGCCCATCACTGATTGGAATGGTGATCTCACTAGACAGCACTCCACCAAGTCTCAAGAACTTGATGATCACTGAGGCATTACCAGCCTGGGAGACAGTCAGGCCAGATGGCTGCAGAGAGAGAAATATAATAATAATAATATTTAGCTTTTATATAGCACTTAATACAATGTCTCTAAGCGCTTTACAAATATACTACTACCCCGGTCATTTGATTCAGTCCTTGCACTCCCTGGGGAGCATTCCACTTGATACCCATTTAACACCTGGGTGGAGAGTAGCAAGTGCAGGTTAATATCTTGCCAAAGGAACCCTCAACCTTCGCGTCTCCAGTCAAGCGCCTTAAACCACTCGACTACGACACTCCCACGAATATAGCGTTTAAAATGAGAATGATTATGTGAAGAATTTTTTTTTCTATTCAATAATAGAGAGATAGACAGTAGTAGAGTGAGAGTTACAAAGGAGAGAAAAAGAGAGTAGAAAGGAGAAAGAGAAAGTTGTGATACATACGGTGATGGACCTTAATAATAAAAAAAAAACACTAAAAACCCCAAGTGACACAGTGCCTTCTGACATGTTATAATGATTTCAGTTCAGAGAATATTCCATGGACTTTCATTGATATATCTAGAGACTCTTGCATAAAGAGTGGCATTTAAACACAACTCCAAAAATTACACCCAAGTCCAAAATAAGCCATCCTGATTGGTTGCGTTTAAACTGACCTCTTTATGTAATAGCGCATAGAGAAATTCACAATTTATTATGCGCTTTATAAATATACTCTATCATAATTATTATTCTGAGTGATGAGTGCAAAGTGCTGCAACTACCGAACGATACTGAAATTATCAGCTATTAGGATGTCATGAACATATGCACTATGATATCCTCTATGGTATCCAGGGGGTGTTTCACAAAGATCCTAAGTTGAACTTATCTCTAAATTGGACTTAAGCAATTATGGAAAGCCATTAGAATCTTTGAAGATATTAAGTAAAAGTTATTTCAAAAGGCATAAAATGTTGATTCAAATCATTCCAATTGTTTAACATCATGGGAAATTTCTTGTTTATGAAAAGTCTGAAATACTTGAATGTTTGCTTTCGTATATATTTCTAAATAAGGCTACAAATGGCTCTCCATAATATTTGAGTCCAACCTAAGAGTTAAGTTCGACATAAGATCTCTGTGAAACGCCCCCTGAACATGTAATCCCATACAACTGTCTCACCATGTACAGTATGAGCCCTTGGTCTGGGCTGCCCGCCGTGAAGGAGAACTTGATCGACTCCACGGCCCCATCCGCAGCCAAACCTGCTGCATCCACTCCGAAGTGTAGGAACTGATCAGGCAGGAAGCTGGCCAACGTCTGGATCTCACAGTAGGTACCCTCGAAACCCAGAGGGCAGGCGCACTTGTAGGACAGCCAAAAATCATTGCAAGTGCCTCCATTTTGACAGAGGGAGTTCTGGCAAGGGGTGAATACGACACAGCCAGGACTTGGACCCGAGGCGGCTCCAGCAGCAGTGGGGTTGGGTGAGGAGGGGTTGGTGGGACCAACTTGTGACAAACTCTGCATGTGGTTTTGGACTTTGAAATCCTACAGAGGAAGAAAAGAAGAATGACAAATAAAGTAAAATTTATGGAGAAAAACAACCTGCATTTAGCACTTCCAGATATGCAGAATTAATTATATCCTTATAATTATGATGTGCCAGTATATGCAACTTTTATGCTGCATATATATGTTGACTCAAAATACAAGTCAAATTTCATATAAAATCCTTCCCTAAAGAAAAGCATTCAACATATGATTTCATATATACCATCCTGCATTTGCTCCAAGATATATCAAATATATTACAATATTGCTGCAATGAGTTTTAGGATTGATTTACAGTTCAGGTTATGTATAGTGTTGAATCCAAGGTTGAATTTCAGAATTCTACTAGTGTTAAAAGAAAATGACCATGGATTAATTTTCATTTGAGCATCTACTTACCTGTATACAGCCAATGAAGCTATCCACAGATTGTAACTTAGACACGATGTAAGGAGATGCGTCTTGACCGATACCACCAACGTTCAGAGCCTTGTTCAACTCAAGAGGGCCTCCCGGGACAGTCGGCTGGACGCTGACCGAGCATGGGACCTCTGGGCAGTTACCCTCATCAATGGTCACTGAGAGCGTAGTCCTATCAAGGGTCAGTACTGCCTTGTGTGGTGTACCATCATTCAGGTTTCCACTGGCAGTTGCTGCAACGGACCCACTGCCGACATTCATGGATGCTACCAATGACCCTTGGTACAACTCAAGAGCAAGGTGGTCAATGAAGCCATTAGCCTGCAACTGAGATTTGATAAAAATACACAACACTAGTTACATACTTGCCTCTCAGGAAGACATTGTTTGTCTTTGATCCAAACTTAGTAAACCGGCCTAGGGGTATTTAGGTAAGAAGGAAAAAGGATTTTTTTTTTTTTTTTTTTTTTTTTTTTAAGGGTTGAGATATGCATCAATATTTACTATCCAAGACTCAAGATTCAAGATTTTATTGTCCATATAAAATACAGAAATATTCAATATTCTTGTTGATGAAGATTTGAACTAGGTTATTTCTCTTTCTGAAGTCCCAAATGCTTGTTATAAAGCATAGTGCACTAGCAATAACCCTGTTTACACCAGCCAAAATGTGTAACATGAAGAAACAATGAATACCCAAGGTGATCTTACCAAGTTTGGGTTGACTTACCAAATACAGTCCAACCTGTCTACAGCGACCGCACAAGGGGTACACAAAAAGTGGTCTTTGTAGACAAGTTCCTTTAGTACAAGTTTCAATGAGAAACCATTTTCAAGGGAAACAAAACATGTGCTTGTTGTAGACAGGTGGTCACTAAAGCAGGTTTGACTGTAAAAGTTCAACTGAATAATGATTAAACAGTCCTGCAACATACCCCTTCATTGTAAAATAGAACACCCGCTGACAGTGTGGTCACAAAGCTCAGTTCAATGGTGACACTATCCACGGCACGGCGTCGCCTGCCGACGCCTCCACCGCTACCTGTGCCTTCAAGGGCCAGCTGGGCCAGGGGCGGTAGCTGGATGTAGCCCGAGCCTGTGAAGCTTGCCTGACTGACGGTGCTACAGAGGGGACCTAAGGTACCCTGGGCGCAGCTGCATCGGTACATGTTGATCTGGGGTTCCAGGCAGGTGGCTCCATTGTTGCAGGGGTTTGAGGCACACTCCTCGATGTCTAACTCACAGTGCGAACCTGCAAAAATTGAGAGATCAATGTAAAAGAAACTATCAGTTAATGTGAAGCTCGCACAATGAGAAGGAAACAGTCTATCGCAATACAATTCATGATATTTGTTGTTTTGCCTTAATCCCTGGTAATATTGCCAAATACGCTGTACATAATTTACTACAACATGGCTCACATTAAATATTACATACTTGTATGTGTTAAAGAAAAATAAGATGAAGATGCTAATGAGGAGGATAGTTATAATCGTGAACATGATGAGGGTGACAATAATGGTGAAGATAATGTTGATGATGATGATGATAATGATGATGGTGGTGATGATGAAGATGATGATGATGAAAATGAAAATGAAAATGATAATGATGGAGATTATCATGATGACGATGAAGATGATTATAATAATGATGATAACAACAACAACGACGATGACAATAATGGTGATGATGATAGTCATGATTGAAATGATAATGATGGACATGGTCATGATGATGATGACAAAACTATTTAAAGCTCTTGCCCTCCCACATCCCTTTTAAGTTTAAATGAATGAGCTTATTAACATATTAGTGCCCAAAAAGAAATATTGACAAACCTTCGTATCCTGGCTCACATGTACAGTTGTAGAAATCCAGGAAGTCGTGACAAATTCCAGCGACACATGGACTTGATGAACACTCGTCGATCTCCTGATCACAAATTAACCCTGAAAAAAGAAAAAGGAATATCCATGACAATCAAAAGATAAATATAGACAGATAAAATAAAATACAAAAAAGGTTCAAATGAGAATACCTTAACCCTCCCCAATGACTACTAACACATCCAAAATGCTGTTTACAAGATACTTCAAGTAAACTTGAAGTGAATTGTCTGTATGTTCCATTGTGGTATACTTCTTCTTCCATTTCTGTCAATACCTCCAAAAGTAAAGCATAAATTAAAGTATGTGTATACATGATTTATGCTAACAGGCACATTGAAACTATATTAGTTACTGATGAATTATTATTGTAGTACAAATATAACCATGTATGAGAAATGGTGATACTGGGCTATGGTTGTCAACACTATGAGGCGGTTTTTAGTGTATACCTGCTGCATTTTTACTCTAACAAATAAGAGGTACAGATAAGAAAAGAGAAAATACCAACCTTGATAACCAGTTGAACAACTGCAGTTATACCCATCTACAAGATCCACGCAGTAGGCTCCATTAAGACAGGGGTTACAAGCACACTCGTCTATCTCCACCATACAGTGAATTCCTGTCCAAATAGATTCACATATTGATTTGATTTGATTCAATTTATATTTTTCCAATCAAATATCCAAAATCAAGATAACATATATATAAACCATACAGTATTGCAATTTATAATGGAACAAATGAATTATACAAGTAACAAATACTAAGTATCTACGAAACAAAATAAGTTTACAGAAGAATAAGACAAAATATTTCATATTACTTGATTTAACTGAGAGGGGAAAATGTTTATAACATGTAAGACTTGATACAAGGAACCTTAAAAAACAAATGCAAGGCTACACTTTAATATGAGATTAACAATAGTTTTTAAAAGCAAAAATTGGCCATAATTAAGGAATCTTGAAAGACTCTTTTCATATGTTTTTTAATTCAGGGGCAAAAGAAAGGGCGGGAAGGGGAGTGGGGGGGGGGGGGGAGGATTCCTCCAGCAATTTTTATTTAAATATACACATACAGGAGTAATTGAAATGTTTGGAATGCCCAAATCAAATGTGTCATCTCTATATTTCTACAGAATTATCCACTCATCTGCATGAATAAACTTGCAACAACAACAACAACAAAATATCAACACTTTCATGGCCTCTTTCTGGAGCTAGAAAATCATTAACTGATACAGTTTGACACATAGTCAACTGCCCTCTGATTGTGAACAGAGGATGCATTATTCTTTAAAAGGGATCCAGTAACTTTGTCTCAGATTCTGAAACAAAATCCTGGATTTAGCTCATGCTGCAATGATAATTATAAACCTTTAGGTCAGTCAGGAACCCCATGACTTTTACAAGCCGATCGCCTGTCTGATTATCAAGATATTCATGATTGGAATCGAAACCAAATTTTGCGTTTGCCTAACGGTTTTCCTAACATTACAGTCTATTGAGGAAAATGAGTTTGGTAACACTGGTCACTCAAAGATATTTACTTTTTGGGGGAACTTCTTCATCATTTTGAAGCGCGATCATTTTAGGGCTTCAATATTACACCATAACACAGACACTGATAACACTTAGGGCCGTGCATCTCAGATTAAAAATTGTTAACGATGCCTTTGATAAAGCCTTAGGGGTATTACCTTCAAATCCTGGGGCGCAATTACAGATGTATCCATTGATCTCATTGATACAGGTCCCTCCATTGCCGCAGGGATCAGAGGAGCATTCGTCCAACTCTGACCCACAGTTTGTACCATTGAAACCATCCACACAGGTACAGACATAGCCATCGACAAGGTCCCTACAGGTTGCATTGTTCTGACATGGAGAGCTCTCGCATTCATTGGTGTTAGTCTGACACAACGATCCTGAAAAGGTCAAAGTTCAAAATAGAGAATATTCAAATTATTATATTATTACATTTTCCACACTGTTACTAGATGTTAAACAAAAAACACAAACACTCAGAAATACACATGTTCTGTAAATACATATCTTAATTATATGAAGCAAAATATGATAAAAGCAACCTCGACAATCTGAGTCATCTCACATTTCAAATATACTGATATTCAAAACCAATATCTCCACTAGAAGCATCAGTTCTCTTGTAAAATATGTAAATTATTTTGTATTTTATTAAATGAAAATGTTTGCATCAAGGAAGCATCTTGTTAATAGTTTTCTTAAAATCACTCTTCTTTTTTTTCCTTGCTCTGTAAACCTCTGAAAGATATCAATGACACAAACACACATACACACACACACACAAAAATGTGATATTTACCTTCATAACCTGGGACACAATCGCAGAAAAAGCTCCCCACCAAGTCATAGCAGGTAGCACCATTCATGCATGGCCCAGACATGCACTCGTTGATCTCTGTGTCACAGGTGGGTCCCTCAAAGCCCGCGATGCACTCGCAGATTGGTCCCGCCCCTGGCTGTTCCTTGCATAGACCCCCATTCTGACAGACAGGGGGGATGGCTGCGCACTCTAAGACGTCATTCTGGCAGTGGACCCCGCTCCAGTATGAACCGCAGATGCACTGGTAGGATCCTCTCATGTTGTTGCACACGCCGGTGTTCTCGCAGGGCAACGTGACGCACTCATTCACATCGTCTGAACACACCATGCCAGTCCAACCAGCAAGACAGATGCATTCAAAACCTGTAGGAAGGGCAGTTAACACGGCCATGATAAGTTACTGAAAACTGCAGGAGAAGCAGCTTATACAAACTTGATAACGCTACTTGTGACACATACTACCTCACCCCATGTATGCATATATATGGAAGTATAATACAAGGTGTAAATGGTTGAATAAGAATAACAATGGTCTTCCATTCCATGGAGCACACCTGTATCACATATTATTACAAAATCTTTCACTTTTTAATGCTGGCTTTAACATGGTAATTGAAGGAAGACAGTAGCAAAATACAATAACTTGTATATCATTCATTAGAAGACACCCCAAAACCTACATGACACAGAAAGAACGAAAGAGCATGAACTGTCAGATTGCACCTTATCGAGGCTTACAGGCAATGGATCTAATTTATGAAGGTAATAAAAATGTTAACTAGGTTCTTGATTCCCTGCATTCATTATTTCACTCATTCTATACCTTGTGTTGTATTCTGACAAGTGGCGCCGTTCATACATGGGTCCGATGAACAAGGAACGTATACCTCCTGACAGAAATGGCCCACGTATCCTGGTAGGCATTCACACTTGAACCCTGATATCCCATTGGTGTTCTCCACGCACGTTCCACTGTTCTGGCAGGGGTCCGACAAACAGTCGTAAATGTCACCCTCACAATGTGGACCTGGTTGAATAATCAAGATTAACATTTATTACGCGGTAAAGAAAGAAAGCAGTATGGTTTTTTTCTAAATGAAGAGGATGCTTGAGACAAGAAACGGTGGAGGAAGTAAGTGTCATCGTGGCGCAAAAATCAGTAAACCCCCCGTAAGAGGAAACATGATGACTCTGATAAATGATGATGATAATGATGATGCTCTGGATATCAGATCTAGACATGGATGAATGTTTCCTCACTTATCTGTCATCATAAAACATTCATAATGAAATTTATATGCATCAAGATCTATGAGACATGAAAAATACAGGTCTCTGAGGAGGATGGGCCTGTTCATGCATCTCATAGAATTACTGTAAATGGCTCATGAATACTTGAACAGTATTGAAATTGATTCCGTCACTGGTATTCCTAAGTTTAATGTCACTTCATACATATCATAGTCTTTCTACATCTACAACAATGCTGTTGATCTAATCATCTTTCTTAGAAAATGTGTATCGGAAGCACAATAGCAAATGGGACTAAAATATCCATCATGACATACATTAATGCGTTTATGCAAATTGATCTCTATGATTTTGATGCAAGACTTAATTACTCTTGAGTCTAATCTTATCTCCCTACATGGTGATTAGTACTGGAGTTGACTTTGAGATGTGGTGATAAGGAAACCATTATGGCAGACATAGGGACAGACATGTAGATGTAGACAGAGACTGCAGATGCTATACCTGTGAATCCCACTGGACACTGACATGTGAAGTACAGCCCATTGTTAGGGAACCTGACACATGAACCCCCATGGAAGCAAGGCTGTGGGTCACACACATCTGTATCGATCTGGCAGTTGATTCCAGTATATCCATAAGGGCAGGTACAGTCGTAGCGGTATATACCGTCCGTACAAATAGCTCCATTAACACAAGGGTTGCTGTAGCAAGAGTTGATGGTAAACTCGCACACAGGTCCTTCAAAACCATAGGGACATTGGCATCTAGATGGTACAAGATGGTATAAAGAATGGTTAGCATTTATTAAGTATATCCATTCATAATGCTTACCAGAACATACTAGGCATGTTTCAGAGGACCTCCAGGAAAAACAACATTTGTGCCGCTCAGGATGTTCCATCCAAGAGGTCAATTAATTAAAACAAAGTGTAACGTTTTTAAAAGAGAATGGAAAGAGAACAAACAGGGCAAAATAAGAAAATATAAACATCTACCATAGCTCTCTTATAATTCATAAATTACATTATACTTGTATCTAGTCACATTTGTGCATACTCTAGTACTTACACTTTTCTTTTTATTGAATCACTAAGAATAATGAGTAAAAAGTTTAAATATCATGTGATAAAAATAATATTTGAGTACGGGGAGTATGTGTTTAAGGTCAAGAGCCTTTTATATGATGTACATTAACCAGGAACAAATGTATCCAAAGGTGATGTTAAAATTAGAAGAAGAAAAAAAAGGAAAGATAATACAAAAGACAAAAGAGTTTTTGACATTTCAGATCATTTTATCCTTGGCAACGTTACTGTCATTGGGAGATAAGATGTCTTTCTCTCATGCATAGACATTTCTCCCTTACATTACATGTATATATTATTAGATGGGTAGAAGAATCCCTGCAATTTGATTGGTCAATTACCATGTGATTATTTTTACTGGATGCAAGCGATATCGGCGATCGATACCACCGATATCTTCTCTTTTTTTTTGATAATTATTTGTTTTTCATGTTTTTTGATAATTATAATCTGTTTAAAAAAACAAAAAATTCTATAATTTTGTTTTATTTTTGAAGTTTACAGTTTAATGTGCATGATTTCATGATAAGTTAAAAATCATGCGTCCGGTAAACAAAATTACCGGACGCATGATTTTGCCATGCATCCGGTAAATCTGTAAAATAACAAAATTTTGTCTTTCCGACAATTTTTGGGGCCCCATCTTATAAAACAGATGATGCACAGGTTTAATTCATGGGTCGGTGGAATTGTGTGCACGCGGTACCTGAATTTGGTCTAAAACCCATTCAAAGGTACCTTGTGCACACAATACCTACCGACGCACTCAAACCTGTGCATCATTTGTATACTACTAGCTAATTATCCATGCACATCATTAGCTCCATGCATGAGTCATGCGATTTATATACAACAGTCACATGACTGCATCGCTGTAATTCTAATGGCTTGATCGCTTGTTCTCTTTTAAACCCTTGACCCAATTCCTGATCCCACTACACTCACCGGAAGCTGTTGATCCCATCGACACATATCTGGTAATACTCGCATGGATTAAAGAGGGAGCATTCGTCGATGTTAATCTCACAGTTGATCCCTTCGAAGCCTGGTATACACTGACAATTGTAGACATTCACATTGGGTTCTGTACAGTAGCCTCCATTCTGGCAGGGAAAGCTTGCGCACTCTGGGGTGTCGATTTGGCAGTTGATTCCCTCATATCCTATAATAAAAAAAGGATTTCCGAAGTGTGAAAAATTGTTCTGAATATATCTCAACCTAAACTATATTATCAAATGGGTTCAAGAATGTAGCCAATGCGAAGCGTCGAAAAGGATAATGTGTGCGTGCATTAATTTTTACCATATTCACAGGGTTTACATTTTGGTGACATGTACCAATGATCTAAGGGAATCATATACACTAGGGAGATTTTGAAAGTACATGAACATATCAATGATAGACTGGATATAAAATCTTTGCAAAGATATCTCTGTGGAATACATAGAAAGAAAAAAAATTGTAATTTTTGTGGTACAAGGTGCACAAAATTCAAACTGATTACAAAATTCCAAAACTCTCCTGTTATTTCATATATTACCTGTTTGGAGCCAAAAGGGCGATACGTTATATACAGGAGTAAAACAAAACAAAAACAAAAAATTCTTCCCTCCATCCACCGTCCCCCAAAAAAAGGATCCAGAGAAAGAAAAAAAAATAACATTCCTCCCTTTTGAGTAAGAAAATTGGGGAAAAATTGGGAAAATAGGAGTAAAATCAGGAAGAAAAAAAAATGGGGGGGGGGGGGAGAAATTTTTTAATTTTTTTTTAAATGGGGACAAAAAAATATAAAAAATAGGGAAACCGATTTAAATCGGGTAATTATCAGGCCTGCATATACTAAACTTAACACAAACTTATCGCCCTTTTGGATCTGAAAAGATGATGTCCCTACATCTGACTCTACCACTGATTATTCCATTTACCTGAGAGGCAGGTGCAGTTATAACCATATATTTGGTCTACGCAGAGGCCGCCATTCACACAGGGGTCTGAGTTACATTCATTGATCTGCATCATGCAGTCGCTTCCATAGTAGCCTGGCTGGCAGTAGCAGGTATAACCCCCTGTGTGTGATAAAATAAATTATTGGTGTTGATATGAAAGTCACTGATAGTCACATTCATTGAACTCAAGGCAGTCAGGTTTGTACTAGCCCGGCTGGCAGTAACAGGTATAACCCCCTGTGGTAACAGAGAATAAGTGGTATTAATGTACAAGTCACTACAAAATAAAATTATTTCTATGGCATGACATAATTTGATGTATGTAATAGAAATTAAAACCCTACATCTCACACATCTACTATGGATGTATTTTTTTCATTCAAGAATATGAGTTCAAACTGAGTGAGTGAATCAATGAAAAAAAGAATAAATAAATGCATTATTTATACTGCTCATATTTCTGTGGTTATCAAAGGTTTGTCTAACAAATCACATATACATATGCAATGAAGAAAACTAACAGGATTTTCATTTCTTAAAATTTACAATTGTGCAAAAATGATAACCACTTCATGTATTAACAGAAAATTGTTAACAGATAGTCATACCAACAGTCTTTGCTCGATCAAACTGGATCAGAGGCCGGATATCGAACATCTCTTTATTGTCTAAATATTAAAATTTAAAAAATATGGTAACTGTTCACATAAAAAGTAGACCTTTAAAACCACAAAACTAGTTTTCTCTTCACAGACTTTACAAGATTGTGTGATAGTGAACCTACCCCCCCCCCCCCCCCCCTTTGAGTAAAAAAAAAAAAAAAAAAGAATCAGGGAGAAAGAAAAAAAGAAAAATCAGGAAAATAGGGGTAAAATCAGGAAGAAAAAAAAATCGGGAAAAAACAATCAGGAAACGATTTAAAAGGGGTAATAATTAGGTCTGCTTTATTAACATACCTGAAGGAGTTTCCACGCAGACAGAGTTGAACCCGCAGGGATTGAAGTTACACTGCCTGACCAGGGCCTGGCATTGGCTTCCTATGAAGTCTGACCCACAGCGGCAGGAGTAGGAGTTAGGACCGTCCACACAGTCCCCACCAAAGAGACAAGGGTTGCTGGCACACTCGTTGATGTTGATGTCGCAAAGCTCTCCTTCAAAACCTTCAGGAAAATGGATAACATCAGAAATAAAAGATATTAGTTAAACATCATTCTCTCTCCTCTCTCATCATTATTATCCTAATAGTAATGATAGTGACATACATAAAATTATTTTTAACTGAATAAAAACTTATGGTGTTGAAACCAATATATGCTTTCACAACGTAAGATACAGAACAAAATGCTTTCATCTTTGTCAATCTGTTTCAATTGATGCTTCTTTTTGGTTACTTATATCCTGCACAAGGAAGGATAATTATAAGTGCTCGAAACATGCCTCGCATGATCTGCCAAGAAAACACCAATTCCATCTTTAAAAATGCTTTCTCACGTAGGAAATAACGTACCAATGAAAAGAAGTCTCATATTCGTTAAATATAAATATGTCAGCATTTTTATGCTGAACTATTAGAAATGGAAACATCAGACTTTGAGCTTTTACCTGGACTGCATAAGCACTGAAATCCTCCAAAGGTATTATTACACACTTTGGTTTGAGTAGGATGGCATCCTCCGTTGGATAGAAGGCACTCGTTCACGTCCATTTCACACTGCACTCCGGTAAAATTTGGAGGGCAATCGCAGGAGAATGCTCCAGGAAGATTGTTGCACTGTCCTCCAAAGGCACAAGGCAATGAAAGACACTCGTTGATATCTTGCTCACAAATGGTACCTGTGAATCCCTGGCCACAGAGGCAAGTGTGGCTGTTTATTCCATCGACACACGTTGCGCCATTCAGGCATTGGTTGTCAACCACGCATTCGTCGATGTTGATATCACAGTGTGTTCCTTCGAACCCTGGTGCACACTCGCACTCATACCGGTTGAAGAAGTCAATGCAGGTGGCACCGTTGAGGCAAGGCTGCGAGGCACACTCATCTTTATCTTGCGAGCAGAAGATCCCAGCATATCCTGAAGGACAATCGCAGACAAAGATATTGACAAGGTCTCGGCAGGTAGCACCATTAACACAAGGCGTCGACAAGCATTCGTTGATCTCCGTCTCGCAGAGAACACCCATGAAACCCGGCGCACATCGGCAGGAGAAGCGGTTGGCACCGTCCAAGCAAATGGCACCGTTCTGACACGGGAAACTGGCGCACTCATCCACGTTCCCTTCACAGTTCACCCCTTCAAAACCAGGTGCACAGTCGCAGGTGTAGAAGCCAACCAGGTCATTACAGGTCGCTCCATTCCTGCAGGGATTCGACTCGCATTCGTCTCGTTCGACCTCACAGTTGACACCCGACCAGATGGGCGGACATTCACAGTGATAACCATTGACCTCATCAACGCAGGTGCCAGAGTTCAAGCAAGGGTCCGAGGCACATTCATTGATATCTTCTTGACAGTGAACACCAGTAAATCTGGTAATGTAAAAATAAAAACAAAGCCACGGCATGAGAAGATGATAGGATCAAACTCGTTTTAGTATATGGGCAATACCAATATTCTTTTACATTATGTCATGTACATGTAGTGAAAGATGTTACCCATCAGTCTGTATTTCAAAATAACTAAAACCAAACTCATTTTATGACCATAATGGCACAGAGTGAGCATTGAAATGCTTAATATTTACCCTAGAATGCATGTACAGTGTGAGGTCACTGAAAATATATTAGAAGAGTACAAATTTATTTCACACCTATACAATAATACTTACCAGAATCTAACATTTATTTTTTAGATTGATTTTAACTGCATAAGCATTGTAAGTCAATGACATTATCCAGATAATTTTTTTCTTAAATTGGAAGGGTAGTCTTTCTTTTTGTGCAATATGCACATATCAAATCATCATAACCTTGCTGAATGTACAGTGACACATACTATAGTGACACATACGGTACAACAAAAGAATACCGGTAAATCCCCATAATCGAATTGACACATCATCATGCCCATGCCATCAGAAAGAAAAAGTCAACAATTATGCCATGCCCTTGGAAAAAAGATCTAATGTTCTGCAGATTTCAAATCTTTAAATATAATAATCGCTATCATTCATCACACATTCATCGAAAGCAATAATACCCCTGACACCAGACACACAAACCTAGATTCTCAAAATAGACCACATGGGGGCATTTCATTACCCCTTCCTAACAAGGACCAGTACGTGGAGAGGATCCTTGAAAGCTATGTGATAACGGACAAAGCACCCGAGGGAAGTTTAACGACATACGATGGGTCACGCTTGGACTGGGGGACTATCAGAGGATACTGGAGTTTCATTACGCAAGTCATTTTCTCTCGCTTCCACTTCCTCTTCTTCCCCCCCCCCCCCCCCCTGTGTACTTCTACCTGTCATTGCTCTGTGTTTGCAGGACAATGATTTAAGCATTATCGTTTCACATTAATGTGTTTGACCATGGTTCTTATACATTTTCTCGCAACCAAATGTCTTTAGCTTGTTGGTTCCTTTGAATTCTATATATGACTGGGTAGAGGGTTGACCACAAAAAAGGAAATGAATACAGAGAGAGATGATGACATCTAGATGATACACCTCATAAAAAGACAATGACTGTTACCTCCTTTCAGAGTTATCTCTTTAGATGACTATCCTTGATCAATTTTCCCCTCTAATCTCTATGGGTTTTGTCTCTGTCATCACATTATAAAAGACATTGTTATTTTGAGACATCTAGTTAAGGACACATAATTGCCTGGGTTTTTTTACTCTCAAAAAGAAAAGGTAAGAAAGATATGCCTCTAAATTCAAAGAAGTTACCAGTAAATGAATTCTAAGAATACTAATTTCAATAAACAAAATATGATCTCCTATTTCTTTCTCATTTCTCCTCAGGGGAAAATCAGTCAAAGAAAATAAATTGATAATAACAATAATAGGCATTTATATAGCGCTGTCTATCTAGACAATTCTATTCCGAGGCGCACACAATAATTATAACCCCGGCTTTAGCCTAGCTGCCATTACAGCGCTCTAGCATTGATCTTATTTTCTCCCCTCCTTTCTATGGCATTTGTCAATAGTACCTCTCTTTGGAAAGTGCTGGTACAATTTTCTTTCAGAACAGTACGTGCTTCTTTTGTTTGAAGAAAAAAAAACAGAACTAAAGGAGAAAAATTCTATCATAATTTATAACTGTGTATTCATCAGATTTGGTTCTGGTAATATGACTATCATTCAACTAAGACGGATTTCTCTCATGTTTATAAAAAGCTGTCATTTCAGTTCTAAGTCCCCCTTTCCCCCAGAATATGACAGAAATCTTTCTAACAAAAATTCTGTCACAGCTATAGGTGACAACTAAGCCTTGAACTTAAGACACATTTGCTACTGTCCTTTCCCTTTGTCAAAAATTTTGAAAGGAAAGTGAATTTTTATATTTCCCCCTTTTCTTCTTAACCACATTTTTGACATAACGTATGTGATTCATAAGGGATACTTTTGGAAATGACAGCTAATAATATTTGATCCAACGACCCACTTGCGACTGACCCTTCACTCTGAAGTTTGGAAAGTTCAAGTACAGCTGCTTTAAGCTAAATATGGATTCGATCGCTCAACTTGTAAATAGGTTAAGACTGTATGTATCTATATTTTACACAAAATGCTCTCGTTTTAGATATATGTTGACAAGACTTCTGTCACTCCTGCACCTAACAATGACACATCTACAGAAATCTGAGAATATAGATCCACCCACAAGCACAAATATTATTCTGCACTCAAAATACAAAGACAAGTCATTAATTGACTACATACACATGTGAAAAGTACTCAGAAACTTACCCTGGGGCGCAATAGCAGGCATAGCGGAGGAATGCATCCTCGCAGGTTGCTCCATTCTGACAGGGTTGTGAAGCGCATTCATCAATCTCCACAGAACAGTTCTTCCCCTCCCATCCCTCAGGGCACATGCATGTGTAGGAGTTGATCCCGTGGGAGCAGGTCGCTCCGTTCTGACAGAAGCCGAAGTCGCACTCGTTGATGTCTTCTTCGCAGTGCACACCCTCCCAACCAGGCGTGCAGTCACAGATGTACGAGTTGACGACGTCCTGGCATGTTGCTCCATTGAGGCATGGGTCGGAGGCGCATTCGTTGATGTTCCTTGTACAACGACTCCCTGTGGGGAGAAAGGGATATGAATGAATGGTGGTGGTTATTTTACCTGACTGATAAGAAAGCATAAATGCTTGTAAGTAAGCAACCAGATGGCCGACGGCTTTAGGTCCTCTCCGAGGGACCTGGTAATGAGGATTAATGCCTTTAACCAAAGGGCACTAGCGCATCGCCTTGGTTTCATACCCGGGTCACCGGATTACGAGACCATTGCTCTACAGACTGAGCTATCGCGCCTCCCTAAAAAACAATTTACTGATGAAAAAAAAAATTGTTCTAATGATATAAATTAAAGACCAATATTCCCCCAATATTCTAATTCACAAATGACAGAACAAAAATCCCATATACATCTTTCTGTGTACAGTGTTTGCTACTTTACCAAGACTGGGCCAAATTTCTTATCATTTTGATGATTTCAGAACCTTGCAGTACACACCAATACTTATATGCTAGATGATCAACCTTTTCTGATTGATTCAACAACGTTTCTTTCACAATGCAATCGCATGACCAGAACTGTCTATACCTTTAATATAAGTAGGAATATAACATAACAATCTAACAGATGTATAAAATGAAAATAAAGAGCATATGCATATAGGTTGATATAATGTCAGGAAAACTACAGACAATTCCGTAAACAAAGTATTTATAAAGTTTGGATAGATCTACAATAATAGTTTTTTTAAGTCTGCATTTCAAAACTGCATAGAACCTACAGGAGTTAATCCGAGTGCAGTATTTTTATTCCACAAGGACTAAAGATGAATGCAGTGTCTCCGGTCATAGCCACCGAGCCAAGTTTTAAACTGCCAAATCTAGGGGGCAAAGTGTTCTAAATACCAGTGTGCCCCCCGACAACAAATGGAAATGCCATTTAGGAATCGAAGCCATTGTCTTGCATGCAACAAAAATAACACTTGATAATCCTCATAACCCCCCTACAGGTAATCCCTATCAATCAAGACCAAAGCCCTTCCGGCTAAACTTAGACACATTTATTGAAGGCTAGTACACAGGTGTTGACGGATCTCTATATTACCTCCGGAATGCCTCTTTTCCCAAATAATTTATCTACCCATATTTCTATATCTCTCTAAATGTGCATCTCTCTATCTCTTGTTTTTTTTCTCTCCATTTTCGTATCTGCCTGTCTGTCTGCGTGTCCCTGTCTCAGCCTCTGTCTGTTTGTGTCTCTCTCCCCTCTCCTCCTACATCATGTATTTAAATTGATTGTCTTTTTATACATCAATCTCTTCTTCTCACTCTCTCCCTCTTTCTCTTTCCCCACCCTTGCTTCCCCCTATGTCGCCTCTCTTTCTCTCTCTCTGTCCCCTAATTCTCTTTTTCCTTTGCTTTTTCTTTTTTTCCTCTCCTTGCCCCTCTCTCTTTAATCTATCTTTTTCTCTCCCCTCTTTTTTATCTGTATATGTATCTCCCTTTCTCACTCTTTCTCTTTCTCACAACTCTACTCCCCCCCCCCCCCCCCCCCCCCCTCCTCTCTCTCTCTCTCTCTCTCTCTCTCTTTCTCCTTTTCTTTCTCTTTCTGTCTCTCTGTCTCTGTCTCTTTCTCTGCTATTTCGTGATGAATCATGGGTAAGAGAGAGCTACTGCCATCACTCGTCAAACATGAATACGATAAAGATCAGACTTGATCAATCATTATACAAGGCTCCCTGGATACAGGTGAATAACACATTATTTATGGACGTTTCTGGGTATTCCTCAAGAAAAGAGGGACTATGATGAATTATTGACAGCTCACAGAGGACAGATGCTTATAATTTATTCACTTTTTACTCTTGAATTTAATGCAGATTTTTTTAATTGGCCTTCATGTGGTCTAGAATTATGTAATCTCTCTCACTCCCCTTTGAAAGATGTATGCACCATTCTGAAACAGAATAAGGTGGATATCAAATATAGTTTCACATATGAGGGAAAGTGTAGAATCATTCAGGCTTTGATTATTATGCATGTTTATAATAGAAAAATGGATTTTAAAAATAAGATAATATTTTTAACACCCATATTCTAAGGCAAATAAGATTGAAAGAGCCTAATGTATGAGCTTTCAAACCTTATAAGAAATCATAGAATATGTTACAGCCCCCAAAACATAAAGATAAAAAACCCAAGATATTCCAATCTAATGCCCCAGGTCAGCATTCACTTGTTATGTACATTGTAACTGGTTTAGGTCACAGTCATATTGTCATGCAGTCTGTGGCCTCAGGAAAGGTGCTTTGAACCAAAGTTTGATGGGGCAGAATATATGAACAAATGTTGCTTACTCTGGGAAAATTGACAGCTGTAAGATGAAGCATATTCACAGTCAGCGTTATTTCATATCTATCCCCATTTTAGCCCTCACAGTGACTCCACCTTGACATCCCAATACACAGGTGCAGTTACAGGAGTTTCAATCACTCTGATAATTGTCAAGAATTAAAAAATGATGGATTTCACCATGCCACCTTTCATTCATCTTACTTATGTCCTCACGGGGCATTTGTCACACGGCTGTCGGCTGTCACACAACATGAAAATTACCTGCATTTATAAAGTTCTTCTTCAGATCAGATTTGAAATAAAACCTCAAAAAGGATTTTCTATAGAAAAATTACACTTATCTAACCCAAACTAAGTCAGAGATGTTGCCCCAAGTACTTCGCATTCCCCCTTTACTCCTGTCCACATTGATAGTCGTGATTTCCAAACAGATCAGTTGCCAAGTTGGTGTACTTTACTTTCACACAAATAGGGCCTCCAATATATCATCCTATCCCATTAGAAAGAATCTGACATGTTAGAAACTTAGCTATAGGTTATTCTTCTCTCTTGTGCACAGTCATCAAAGACCCACTATACTACTTGTAGCTACTTGCTCCCTCTATATAGAAAACAATGCCTGATCAGTGACTGTTGGTCCCCCATGATCCTCTTTTTCTTATGTAAAGTGAGAGCTGAGTTGATGAGATAGCCACCTGCCAGTGACCTTCCTGGGTGGTCTAATCCCTCCTAGCCACACTAGTACAGATCGGCTTTAAAGTGATCTTACCTTGCCATCCCGGTGCACAGGTGCAGTTCCAGTAGTTCAGATAATCATTGCAAGTAGCTCCATTAGCACAGGGGCTGGAGGCACACTCATCGATCTCAAGCTCACATTGATCTCCAGTGTAACCTTAGACATGGAAATAAAAGGAGATTATTTAGAGGTTAAAATCATTTAAAGAGTTATATAAAAAGGGAAACCACACCAAAAGACAATGAATAATTATTTCAATGTATGGGAAATTTGAGACAAACAGCAGAAGAAAAAAAAATCTGTATTATTAAAATAAATTTAGTCTATGTAGAATTTGAAAGATGACATTATGTATGCTCTTTCAAATTGGCAACTCTGTCAGGTGCTGGTGACTTCATTGAAATACAACTCTTTACTGCATGAAATGTTAACAATTTCCATTCATCTCTTAATCATTAAAACAATTCTTTCACGCATCTTCAATATTTTCCCTAAAAAGCATAATTTCACTGGCATAGAAAATGACAAAAGCCACTGGTTTATTATGTTATGGAAAAAAATGGAATGTACATCACTGATGACAGAGTCACATGACCAAGGTGCCAATTTGATATATCCCTTTAATACACATGATTTGGTGATATCTTCTTCACATTTCTTAAACGCTCACCTGGTAGGCAATTGCAGTCAAAGCTAGCGGCCAGGTCGACACACATAGCTCCATTCTGACAGGGGTCACTGAGACACTCGTCAATTTCAGTCTGGCATAGTTGACCTTCGAACCCTGCCGGGCACGTGCAGTTGAACCCATCTATATTGTCATTGCAGGTTGCTCCGTTCTGACACTGGTTGGGGATGCAGAAGTTTGGAATGGAGCAGTTCTTTCCTGTAGACAGACAGATAAACAAATAAATGAATAGTAAATAACAACATATTTATATACAAAATAACATGGAAATTCATATTAAACAGTTTCAAAGAGAGTGCATACTAACCGTATTGTTATCACTGAGCTTTTGAAGCACGTCTAAAAAAAATATTGTGCTTTACTTTCTTGTATCACAGAAAATGGGTGCACTTAGGGGCCATTCTTGAATGTGTAATTTCAAAAACCCTTACTCACCTTTTATTTACATGAAAAATAATTTTTTTGTGGCAGGGGTTTCCATTGTTGTGCAGTTCTTATGTGATCCATGCAAGCTATATCTCTACCACCTCTTCAATGACAGGGGGCCATATAAAGGGCTCAGGGCATTCAAGAATTTTCAATGAAATTTCAATTTTAAGCAATGTATTTCAACAGCTTAACCAATATAACGTTTTACTGCTGATCAAATTTACATGTGCTGAGTGTATTGAGTACATATATATTTAAGTATGTGTACCAATCTCATACTGGGACTGATAAAACAAAATGTCAATTGTTGTAAACTTTGAGCTACAGTGCGTGATCGGGAGAAAAATCAAACACGTTTTTTTAATATTTCTATGTAATTTTGAACCATTGCCATGATTAAGTATAACAACATGGATAAGTGAAACATGAATTCAAACACTAAATACAATTTTGCCTTGCTCAGAGAGAAATATCTACACAAAAATATAAAGTTTTATATTAAACAGGGGCAAAAAAGGAGTAACCATGATACTATTAAACAGCAGTGTAGAACATATTTTGTTGAGTAAACACAAAAAACAACAAACAACAACTAATAATTCTTTAAGCACTTTACAGTGTACGTCTTTCTTACCAAATAAGCATATGAATATTCCTAGTAAGAAATACAAAGTCCACACAATTCTAGGTCTCAAAAGTGAATTACATCTCCCCATTGCAGATAATACAAATCCAATTCTCAAATCAGTACTAAATAGCTACTACTACAGTCACTATCCACCGATACAACGACAGTCATCTTGTGCAGTGGTCCTCACTGCAATGACTCGAGCTGATCGACTGACTGGCTGACTGACGCTGCCTCCCACTGTCATGACGATGCTTTCTATTGACATCCAGTCTTAGCTCAGAGGGGCACAGTGCAAACAATGCCCAACTCAACTTGCTATCATCATTGGAAAGCCAATATGAATGGGGCTCCAAAGGTGGCAGTCTGTAGTTGCATGCATGTCACAATTTCACCTCACATCAGCTAATTAGAAGCTACAGGTATTTCCTTTGGTGTGTAAACAGGGCACCATATTGGTTCTATTTGCAATTGTTATACAAGAATAGACATAGAGATCATTCCATGCATTCCTTAATCCTTTACATTCTTGTAGTAAATGATGTGTTTTGTACTTTGTATTTTGTACATGTTTTGTTTTGTTCTGCATGGCAATTTCATTCAGGAGGAATTCAAGATTTCATGAATTCCGGAGCATCCAAAAATCACTCTTAATTAGACATGAGGGATTGTCTAAGGTTTAGCAAACACTGCAACAGCAAACCATTATGCTATTGCTAACACAGCGTCATTCACAGGAGTGAATGCACTGCATATTTACATTGAGTATCAGTATTATCACTAGTCTGCAATGGTTTCCAAAATTCCTCTCAACTGCATGCACAAGTTCTTGTTTGATACAGTAATGAAACTCAACGGTGAGATAGAAAAGAAAATTAAATTAAATGAGTCTTCCATTCAAAAACAATGAATTTTTCTGAATCCCAAGTAACTTTTCACATGTACCTGTATATCCATAAGTTGGTAAAAAGGGGTAATACCTTTATTAATTTCTCTATTATTGGCCTATTATTGTTCAACCTTATCAATTATATCTTGTTTTTTCATTTGTCCTGGGTTTTTTTTTTTAGGGGGGGGGGGGGGAAGGGTATATGTCAGTTCTGCACAAGGCTGATTTATAATTTATGATTCACAATTCATCATTTACAATAATAACTATGCATGAAATCATACTCTAATAAATATACATATATAAGAGTTGGACTTACCTTTGTTGAATTCTAATGTACACTGACACGTGTAATCCTGTATACCATCCATACAAGTAGCACCATTAAGACAAGGATCTGGTTCACAGTCATTGATGTTCTCACATGTGAGGGGGGCGCTGGAGACCTGACGGAACCCAGGGGCACAGCTGCATTCAAAGTCACACGTCTGGGAGGGGGCGGGGCAGGTCGGCTCGCACAGCTGGGAGGGGTAGCAGCCACCGTGTGTGACATTCCTAAAAGATCAGGGTGGGATTTGTTTTTGGATTATAAACTACTGAATCTGTATGTTGTCCGTGTCTGTGTCTTAGTCTCTCTCCATTTCTCTCTCTCTCTCTCTCTGTCTGTATCTGTAAGTCTAAAAGGGCTGTCTATGTCTATGTACATTCACATTTGATTCAACACTCGATTTTCACTATTTTCACTATATACTCTTCACAATCATTAAAATAATATAAGGCAGGTTTATGAATGTTAAATCCTAAGCTAACCCTAACTTTAGAGACTTTAAGAATTCTCAAAATTAACAAATTTCAATCTTGACCCTGTATCTTAATCCACCATTCTGTTGACTCATCAATAAACTACATCTTCTGAAATCTTTCAGAAGACTGTTGAGAATGATATCAGTAATCAGCACTTGTATATTACTCACTGAAGGGCTATTCAATGTGTGCAATCAATCATAGCTTATGATGTTCCAATACCCGCTCTCAAACTTTCCATGAACTGCGCACCCCAATACACACTAGGCCTGTCTTCATCAGCTCGAGATTGCCAAATAGCCCGCTTTTTCTGATTTGGGAAATAATCCCCTCGAGATTGCCAAATAGCCCGCTGTTTCTGATTTGGGAAATAATCCCGAAGTCACAAATTGCGTCTTCATCAGCTCCAGACTTGACCTCGAAACTTAAAACTCGAGCTCGAGAAATTAGCTCGAGATATTTTGCTCAGCATTCACGCATGGTGCGAATCTTTGGGCTGGTGAAGGCGCACCGGACAAATAGCGGGATATTTTGCAAACTAGCCCAAGATTTTGGGGGATGATTATCTTTATCTTAATAGCGGAATATTTGGCAATCTCGAGCTGATGAAAACAAGCACAGTAAGCCTTCGCATCTATCTTCACACATCCCTGAGGAGATGAAGGGTTGAGACTCCTAAAGAGGCTTTTTGTACAGCAAAATGCCTCAGGACTACCCCATAATTTGGTGTAAAGTGATCTATAGAAATCTAAATCTATAATTACATCATTAAAAACACAGAGAGGAGTCTTCTCTGGACCTGATACACTATCAAAATGACATCCTTCTTACATGTTCATTGTACATACATATATATATATATATATATATATATATATATATATATACATATATAAATAGAGTTTTCCTCAAGGCCTTGCTAATCAGTAATCCATAATCAATAAGGAATATTCCCACAGAAGCCATCTTGCACATGTGTATGTCACATTGTTCATACTTCATTTGATTCACTTTTAAAGATGACAATAGTTTTCATTCAAAAAATCCTAAACAAAATATGGGGCAAGATTCTGGGGCATTGAAGAGAACTTGAGACCTATTCATACTTGCATGCATTAAAGGTAAAGACCAGTTTTGGAAACGCCCCCTCTCAAAAAATGAAATGGAAGCTCTTATTTCCAATCATGTGAAAGAATATGTTTTGACTAATACATGATGATACAAATTTTGCCGAAAAGCCGCCTACTAATTGATATATTTGGTAAATTATTATATCTATTTGGACCTGATAGATCTCGCGCACGTGTCGTGTAGTCCCATATGCATCTTTCTGTGTACAGTGCTTGTAACCTAATACCAAGACTGGGCCAAATTTCTTATCATTTTGATGATTCCAGAACCTTGCAGTACACACCAATACTTACATGTATATGCTAAATGATCAACATTTTCTGATCGATTCCACGACGTTTCTTTCGCAATGCAATCGCATGACCAGAACTGGTTTTTATCTTTAAGCTCACTCACCTTTCTGATGTGAACTGGGTATCAAAGTCGATCAGCTCTGGAGGTTCAGAGGAGATACTGTAGGTAACAAAGCGCAGCTCTTCGAAGCATGCCCTCAATGACGGCAGATCAGAGTCTGGGAAGGGCTGGGTGATGGAGGAGGCTTCTCGGACGCCACCGATGAACAGCTCTCCGGCATTCAGGGTCTGGGCTAAACCAGCTGAAGGTCAGTGAAGAAATAAACACTTTGTTTAAAAACGCATCTGTACATAGTGTACAGGAGGGATTAGACCACCCTGCAAAGTCACTGGACACATGGTTATCTCATCAAATCAGCTCATCAAATCAAATCAGAAAAAGAGGATCATAGGGGATCGACGGTCACCGATTAGGCATTGTTTGTTATATAGAGGGCACAAGTAGCTACAGGTATAAGTAGTGCACTGGGCCTTTAAAAATACAGCTTCATTATTATTTACTGGAATGAACTTGATAGTCTAATGAATGTAGCAAGCTGATGTCCTTCTACAATTCATCCCTGACACCAACAATACGTGTTCCTAGTCATTTTCCCCCCATATTCAAACGAAATCATTAATACTTAAAAAAAACTTAAAAATAAGTAACTCATTAAGCATGCCCTATGTTTATCTCCACAATATCACTAAAATTGTTCATATAACCAACGAAAGGTGACTCTACCTAGCCCTGTTCCTGATCTAAATCATAGGGCTAATACTTAAAATAAGTGTCATTATCAAACCTACAACATCTACAAGACTAGTGTCCCAAAGACTAAGATCGACTTTAAGTTGGGCTTAACGGTGGCAAGCCATTGGCCACTAGTTGCTCTCATCATTGGTCTCTCAATTATGATCTTTAGATAATATGTTTTCCTACAATAAAGAACTATCCAAAAATGTAAATTCTGTGGATTTGTGACCATGCTTTGAGCGTCCCTTGAGAAATCAACACAACACCAGGAAGGGTTAAAGGAACTAGTGGCCTGCCATAGTTAAGTTCAACTTAACTTAAAGTCGATTTTAGTCTTTGTGGAACACTCCCTAGGTACTTACAATAAGTGACTCTACCAAGCTCCAATCCTGTGTCATCCTCCAGAGATGCCACGGCTCCATCTCGTCTTACCCTCACATAGTGCCATTCTCCATCATCAAAACCAGAGACGCTTGACGTGGCAAAGGTCCCTTCTCCGATCCCCTATAGCGTAACAATACATCCATATTTATAATAATAATAGTGGGTTCTTGTATAGCGCTCATGTCTGTCATACGTGACACTCCTGGCGCTCCTGATTATTGCCCTGGCTTTAGCACGGCTGCCATACGGCACTGTAGCATTTCAAGGAATAAATTCCTGCCAGGTACCCATTTACATCACCTTGGTTGAGTGTGGCAAATGTAGATCAATCTCTTGCCAAAGGACATTAGTGCCTCGAACCGCAGACCTTGTGATAGACAGTCTTGTGACATATCCACTCAACCATGACAACTCTACTGTAGCGTAACAATACATCCATGTTGATTGATGAAAATTAATATTCATAAATTAAAGAGCAAATATTCAAAAATTGTGCACATAAAATAAATAAATATATAATAAATAATAAAAATATGTGTATCGATCATTCACCAATAAAAAAGATTTTGTTGATATCTGAAGGGATTTCACTTAATGAAGACAGAGTAATGAATACATGCAGATCAAACTACCAATATATTCACAGACATACCTAATATAGTTTGGCCGGGGGGATTAGACCTCCCTGCAATGTCACTGACATGTGGTTATCTCAACAAATAAGCTCTCAATTAACATAAGAAAAAGGGGATCATGGGCGACCAACAGGCACCGATTAGGCATTGTTTGCTATATAGAGGGTGCAAGTAGCTATAAGCAGTGCAGTGGGGCTTTAAGCAGCAATGATCACATACTCACCCGTGTATTCAAACCAAGGACAAGTCTGCCATCTTTCATGTACAGGGTCAGGTAGGCTGGTCCTCCGAAGTAGACGATCATTCCTGTAGAGACCCTGTAAGTGGAATATAAAAGAGGACATTGAATTAATAATAATAATAATAATATTCCGCTTTTATATAGCGCCAAATACATCGATACAACGATGTGTCTTTACAGATATATCATTACCCCGGTCATTGGATTCAGGCTTACCCGAACACAATGTATGCACATTCTCCACTCCCTAGGGAGCATTCCGACCAGTCGTCATTTTACAAGTGCATACTTGCTCATCCAACCACGTTAACTTTCGCATCCTGCCGGGTACCCATTTAACACCTGGGTGGAGAGTGGCAAATGTAGATCAATGTCAAAGGACATTATTCCCGCAGCGGGACTTGAACCACAGACCTTGTAATCCACTCGACCACGACACCTCTAATGGTTTCAGTATTGAAATATCTTGAAATACAACTCGTGCGAGTTCCCGATCAAAAGCTAGAGGATCATATATTGTGTTACTGCAGATAAGACACAAGACTTGTAAAAGTTATTTGAAAGAATAATTAATGTCTTAATTTGTCTAGAAATTAGGATCCAATAGAGTTAAAAATTATCTTTAAAAAGTGCCATATAATACCTTAATGATATTGGATAGCTTACTGTCAAGGAGAAACAAAAATACAAGATGCAACATTCACAGAACAATACTGTATATTCATAGCTTGTGTTTGTACATACAGTTGCATGAATACAGAGATTTTTTAACAAGTATTTTTTCAGTACACATGTCGGTTGTTCATATTATATTTTTAATATTCTCCACAGTAAATCTGAAATTGCATAAGAAAATAAGAAACAATAAGACACAGTAACCTGTTTGTGCATGTGATCCAGCTCTTAAATAAATAGCAACAGGTTGAAGTGAGTCAGAGTCAACACAAAATTGTCAAATATTGCCTGAGACTCAAAAAGGTGTTAATTAACCCATGTACTTTATAACAGAATTAACACTCTTCTGGCCCTCATCTGACAAGAAATAAATGGATGTCCTTTACACTTTCTGTGTTATACAAATGTAATGTGTCATGAAATTCACAAGTGTACAAAATGTCCATACAGTGTAGCTATTACAACTTTCATGTCCAGCAAATGTTTAACTATTACTCATATCAAAAGAATTGTGTCACACAAATTTAAATCATAAGAACACAAATGCCCTTCATTTTCCCCTTTTTTTCTTTCTTGCAAATGTACAAATTTAACTTTCTAAATGGAGTTGTGTCATACAAATTCAATTTGTAAGTAGACAAATGCATGTCTTTCTATTACATGATTTATTTTCCTCTAATGTACAGATGCAATTTCTTTTCAGGCTTTGTCACATAAAAACTTAAATTATTCTCAAAGTATATAAACAACATGACAACTAGATCATGGACTACTAGACATATGACTAGACGTTTCATTTAAGGTTGTTTGGTTTTCACTCAAGGCATATTAGTCATGCAATGTCCTAAACACGTGTCCTCACGCAACTGACGATGGATCATCCCTGGAATTTCCAGGTACACGGCAGAACATGGAAGGAGTTCCTTGAGGGAAATGATTTGTTTCTTTTTTTTTAGGGTCAGGGATGCTGCGATGTTAAGAGGATTATAAGTACAGACATGGCCTAGAACTTGCCTAGACTAGGATTTGATGAGTAAATAGAGCTTAATTATGATTTTAAAATGGGTAAAAACGATGCTGTTCTTATTAAAAGCATTTTTTGCACATAAAAGTGTGTTGGCTGGAAAGTTGGACCCTAAACAAATTTAAAAATTACCAGTATTTAATAAAGACATAAAATACAAAATGATCATATTACTTTCCCAGTGCATTCTAATTCCATCATTTAATTGTGTGTGTGTGTGCATGTGTGGGTAGATGGGGTGGTGGGTGAGGATAGAGGGTGTTTGTTTGTTTTGTTTTGTTTTTTTCTTTTTATCTTTAAAAACTCAGATTTTCGTTATTTGTACATATTTCATAATCAGGGCTCAAATTAATTTTTTGTCCACGGAGGCTCTTCCCCCCCCCCCCCCAAAAAAGAGCCCCCGTGAGCCTTTCCACGGGGGCTTTTTAAGTGCTGACAGGGGCTCTTATTTTAATACAAATTCCCATTGAATTGGTACCCATGAAACTCCTAAATTCCTCGTTTTTTATCATTATCATTTATCGTCCACCAGCCGAGTAGCGGCGAGGCGATTTTTGTTGTTGCTATTTTGAACCCCCGTAAGACAGTGATGTTTTCCTGACATTTACTAACATACGGAGCATCGTCCACGAGCCGCGAGGCCATTTTTTTTTGGTGCTATTTTGAACCCCCGTAAGTGATATCTTCCTTGCATCTACTAACGTGCAAAGTATTTTTTTGGTGCTATTTTGAACCCCCGTAAGTGATGCTTTCTTGGCATCTACTGACATCTATACTGTGTAGGTCTTGACACATGATGGTATTTTTCTATGCACATCACATTTTCACTTGGCAGCCCGAGGGGGAGGGGGGGTGGTAGGAGGGTTAAACCCCCTAAACCGCCTAGATCCGCTCCTGCAACATCTTTTTCTTCTTGTTCTTCTTCTCTATATTGTCTATATTGATTTACTGGTCAAGGTACATAATTTGCTGGTCTTTTAGAATCACCAGATTTCAGAGGATTCACACTTTTCACAACGAAAAACTTCTGCATATTTCAGTCTTTGCGTGATCGTCTCCAGCTCCAGCAGATATTAGGCGTCAGCGTGCAAACATGTACTACCGGCGCAGTATAGCCACTTCTGACGGCCGCACAATATAGTGCGAGCTTCCGTTTTTTTGTATCGGTAATACTCATAGAGATGGGAGAGATAGCGCCATCCAAGTTCCATTTCATTGGTTTAAGGTTTGAAAATTGATACTCAATATTGTGTTAAAGTTATATCAGAAAAGATAATCTTTATTTTATAATTACACGGGGGCGATTTTTAATTTTGCAATCGCCCCCGTGAGCAACCTGACAGGGGCGATTATGGAGCTCACAGGGGCGATTCGCCCACCGCCCCCGTGTATTTTGAGCGTTGTTCATAATTATGTGATTTAAATTTTTATGTATAATGTAATTTCCTTTCTGTAATGGAACATTCATGTACAGTGTATATGATGCATAATGATGTTCACAAAATGAATTGTTATTGATGTTTTTTTGTTCTGTTTATTTGTAGAAATACCAACAACAAAAAAGAAGAAGAAAAAGTATAAACATCAAACTTTATTGGTAGGACAAGGTAAGACTGAGCTCTAATTCTAGATACTTCTAGATACATTTATTCATTCTGCTTACAAAGTATGAATATAATATCTTGAGAGGCAAACGTAGTACAAGCTCAGAGCTAGCTTGCTTGCATGTTTGAAATCCCTCTTCTTATGAGAGGAGAACGTAAAGCCTGCCTGCACTAGTTTGGCCAGGGGGATTAGACCTCCCTGCAAGGTCACTGACAGGTTGTTATCTCATCAAATAAGCTCTCAATTAACATAAGAAAAAGAGGATCATGGGGAACCAACAGGCACTGATTAGGCATTGTTCGCTATAGAGGTCGCAAGTAGCTATAAGTAGTGCAGAGGGGCTTTAATACACCTATCAGACACAGCATTGCATGGTATTTCACTAGCAATCCCAATGGAATATACAATTCCCAACAGCAGCAAATTGTCCACAAGTCGGCAGATACAAGACTAATACATTTGACTTATAGTGGATCCTCTTGGCTTGGTAGCAGACTGACTCAAAAGGCCTGTTTTCATCAGCTCGAGATTGCCAAATAACCCGCTATTTTAACTATCCCAATCTCAAATTATCCAACTAATTGCGCCTTCATCAGCCCGCAGTTGCAATCAGCAGGATATTTGGTCGAAATAATCATCCCAAGATATCTTGGGCTAGTTTGCAAAATATCCCGCTATTTGTCCAGTTCATCCTCACCAGCCCGAAAAACTCGCACTATGCGCGAACGCTGAGCAAAATATCTCAAGCTAATTTCTTGGGCTTGAGTTTTGAGTTTCGAGTTTTTAGGTTATTAGTCTCAAGCTGATAAAGACGCAATTTGGGCTTATTTAAGGCGCTTGACTTGGAGATGCGAAGGTCAAAGGGTTTGAATCCCGACACGGCACTAATATCCTTTGGCAAGATATTAACCTGCACTTGCTACTCTCCACCCCGGTGTTAAATGGGTACCAGGTAGGATGCGACCGTCATTGTTGGTCAAACAGTTTTTGAGCGTCATGTAACTCCTGGCTGGAATGCTCCCCAGGGAGTGGAGATTGTGCACACAGTGTGTGCGGGCAAGCACTGAATCCAATGACAGGGCACTTTGTAAAGCACTTAGAGACATTTGTATTAAGTGCTATATAAAAATTAAATATTATCATTATTATTACTATTTCCCAAATCAGAAATAGCGGGCTATTTGGCAATCTCGAGCTGATGAAGACATACCTAAAGAGAGCTGACACCTGTCATAACCCATCTCTCCAAACAATCTGAAAAGGCTCATTAGATTCAGCTCTAATTACCCCCAATAAGGTAGTGCATTTCACACTACGCAATGAATGTAAAACCAAAATATTTTTTTCACATGAAATGTTTGCATGCACAGAGTAGTTTAATAGGATTGGCATAAAGTTTCATCCCACACAGAAATTGGATCACAAGTGACACAGGACTGATTTTATGCAATCGGCAACCAATTTGCAGTGAAAATCGCTATACAATTCGCTAAAAATTCATGTCGTTTGAGTTTCTGGCAGTACAATGATAAGTCAGTTTTTGAACTATGATCAGAAGCTTTTTATTCAATGTACGAACGAACAAATTAAGATCCATGGATGATCAGATTTTTTTTTTATTATTACAATTTTTTTTCATTAAAAAATGTGAGCAATCCATCACGCTCCGAATCATACTTTTTATCTTGTGTGTGAATGGGCCCCAGTATATACTACCCAGCTGACACTCCGACGAGACGCAAAGAAAGACAACATTAACGTCAACCACCGTAGCAGTCAGTCGGTGAGAGGAGAAAAGGCATTCCCTCGATCTAGAAGTTTGTTATCTCATTTTCCCCATTTCCTGCGACAAGACTCTTAGTAGATTCCTTCTTTCATTCATGCTCTGTCATCAAAGTTAATAGTTGTCCTACATTTACAGTACATGAATTGAATTGCTCAGGATCGATTTGATAGTTTTGGACTAAACCAGATTCACAGAAAACCTTTAAAAAAATATATAATCAACAAATCTTTGAAGTGTGAGGAGTAATTAATAAAATTGGATTAAATTCGTTGAAGACAATTTTGCAGCACTGCAAAAAGAATTGGTGAAATAAGATTAAATCAGTATAAGTTATTTTAAAATGCTTTGTGGTTGTTTTCATTAAGCATGCTCTCAGTTCTAGGTGTGAATGGGGTCTCTCTGAACCAAAGAGTAGCAGATGAGTGCTGACAAAAGGTAGACCACAGACTTCCACGGATAAGACCCAAAGGAAATACTCCCCGGTGATTGTACATTAAGTATTTCAAAATTAGGCAGATTTTTCCCCATCTTTAGAACGATAACTACCGAAAGGAAGTCCCTAAATCCGACAAATTGTTTGAAGATTAAGGTACTATGAGGAAGTTTACAATATTTGGGTTCGGTCAGCTATGCCAGTATGGAAAGATGACAGCACATGTACTTAAGGTCACTAAAAGAATACTCAAATATAGAAAAGCCACAACCAGTGAAAGATGTTGCATCAGATTGTCTTCTTTACTTTTCCTGAACACAATTTTGAGCTTTTGCGGAGCTACATACATGTATATATTTTTTTTTATCCATACAACAAAAATTACACTTCATTGTTTTTGTATATCTCCAAGGCTCATTCTATTAATTTTGGTTCAAATGTATCTCAGCTGAAAATGCAGTTTGCAAACAAATTAATCTAGCAAATTTAATCTCAAAATGGTCAGGTAGGAAATCACACGTATCCTACAATGTACACTTTTGTATGTTAATCTAAATACGTATACGGTACATGGATGCACATTATGTTGAACTTGAAAATGATTGTAGGCATAAAGAAACCTAGCTGTTAATTGCCATGTTTCAGCGATATACTCTCCAATTATCTCCCAGGCCCATCCCCCCGTAATGTGACCTTGGATTACGATCACATGATAACATCCAGGGGTTTAAACATGTCAGACGATAATAACCATGTCTGACGAACATGAAGAAATTAAAAACTCAAAAATAATTGATGATACTCGTCTGCTATGTGCAGGGTCCAAATGCTAAATTCGGAAAGGAATGAATTGAAATATGGAGAGAAATTAAGGTTTTTAGAAGATCCCTTGTTTCCTATTACCAATTTCTACTTGATATAACAAATGAGATGTAATGAGAGCAAGAAATGTGTTATTAAAGTAATATCCTTTAACACAGAGTTAATGCCAATCTGGCTCTTAACAGACAATACACTTTGTTTTTATTTGAGATCTATATAAAATCGTTTGCTTGGTGTAATGTAATTCTTACAAAAAGTCATTAATTTTCAAATTTTCATAACATATTAAAGGTCAGTCATTTTAATCAGAACTTTCTGCAATGCCTTGTTTACAGAAAACAAGCCACACTTCTCCTTTAAAGATGATATTTAAGAAAGTAATTGAATTGTTAATCAATTTGTCTCAGAATATTTATTCCAAAAAAATATTGCTGAAAGTTCCATTATGAAAATTTGAAAATTAATGTTTTTTTGTAAGAATGGCATACCTAAAAAAGGATATGATTGTAAAATTTGGTAAATCATAACTCTAGGAATAATATTAGAAATGAATTCAAATCACTATCACCAACCCTTCATAATTTTGATTCCCACAACCTTTGGGACTGATTTTCAACCTACATTCCCAAAATCTCAAAACACCTTTACCATTTAATGTTTAAATTGGTCAAAACAAGATTGGACGAGACCCTGACATTTCGGTTTTTGGCATCATTCTTGTTTCCTCTCCTCCTCTTGACGTTAAAAACTACTTTCCAGTTGACAGCTATCCCGTTGCATGTCACTGATGACATCTTTCCCACCCCAAACTAATGACTACTTCCATTTCCCATGTCAAATCAACCTGTGAAGTTCAGGAGGACATAGAATTGAAGGGAAAGTAGAGTGAATGGATTAGAGGAAGTTACAGGACTACACAAAAAACTAGAATGTGATCATTCATGTATTTCTACATTGAATTTAGATGCACCAGTATTTAATCTGTAAAAGTGTCTCCCTTTTTCAATCTACTAATATCATATGAGTAAAATTGTAGTGTGAATATGGTATGAATGTCAGAATGTGATCAGGCATGTCCATGTATTTCTACAAGAAATTCAGATGCACCAGCATTTAAACTGTATCCTCCTTATTTCAATCAACTTATCAAATGAGCAAAATTGAAGTTTGGAAATTGTATGAATGTTATTATGTTAGAATGTAATTAATCATGCATGTATATGTTTTTCTACACAAGATGCATCAGCATTTAATCTGTATAAAGGTTTCTCCACTTTTCAATCTACTTTTCTTAGTAGTAACATTGCAGTTTGAAAACAGTATGAGCATCTTCACTAAAAATATGCATACAATTACGAAATGCTATATATATATAGAAATTACATTTATTGTATGGTATAGTGTGAATCATTTTCCAGTGTTTTACTGTAGTAAGCTCCCGAGTTCATCTCGCCAGACATTTATATAAGCCTGTACTAACGAATTTATACCCCAAAATGCTGTTTTAGTAGCTTTTTATAACTGTCATTATCAAACATTGCTGTTACACTTGGGTAAGTGGATAGAAGGAAAAAAAGTCACTTGAGTTTAACCTACAATTGAACTTCATTGTTAAAAATAACTTGCTGTTAATAGCATCAGCACAACAGGTCTTTGCAAAGTTGAATTCTTGCCAAAACCACTTGCTTGCATATACATGTAATGTATATATTCTAACTGGAAGGCTATCAGTGATTTCATGCCTAGTGATACAATCATTGCATCTTTTCCCCAAGATTTGTAGGGGGTGATTTGAACATGTCTGTGACCTCGGTGGTGGATTTCTTGCTTTGTCTGGTGATGACTTGCTAGTTTTGCTTGTGGTTTGTTTTTCCGAAACATAGCCTGAGTATCACTATAATATTTCCTACCTCTTTTCCCTGTCTGTCACAATTGTAATGCGGTGTAAATATTCTGAAAAGGAAAGATATATATATATATATATATCCACTCTCCCTCAGTTACTGGATAATAAATGGATTGGACGAAAGGAATTATACATGTATGTGGGTGGGTGTGCGTGCATGTGCCTGTGTGTGTGTGTGTGTTAACTGGTGCAGGAACTTTCAAGGTTCACATGTAGAATCAGTGTTAAGTAGTCTTATGAATGTTTTAGTCCTATTTTATGAGAATTTTATCAAACCATGCATTTCTCTCCAAATGACTTGCTTCACGCAACATTTTCGTTTTCTTTCATGTAAAATCGGACCACTAGACTAGGACCAACCTTGTTCTAAACCTCAGCGTCAGGACTGTGTGGGTCCCCGGGGTGAGGTCCTGGTCCACCGAGAGGTACGAGGAGCTGGTCTGGAGGGTGATGACGGTAGGAGGAGCGCAGAAGTCCTCGGGACACCCCTCCTTGATACCAACGAGACTGGAGGCGGCGTCAAGATCAAGGAGATTGGAGGTGGTCTTGATGTAGCCGATACAGGTCACCAGATAGCCATTTAGCCTCTCCGTATTCACCTACAATCACAAAAACAAAACAAATCAAATTTAAATAGGCAGCGTTTATCAAACATTGAATTAATTAAGCCCCACTGTACTATTTGTAGCTACTTGCTCCCTCTATATAGAAAACAATGCCTAAGCGGTGCCCGTTGGTCCCTGGTGATCCTCTTTTTCTTATGTTAATTGAGAGCTAAGTTGATGAGATAGTCACCTGTCAGTGACCACCCTGGGTAGTCTAATCCCTCCTAGCTAAACTAGTACAGATGGCCTTTAAGTGGAATTTAATAGATTTGTTTGTATTCATTAACAATCAAATGAAAAAGAAAGAAAACAAACGTTGCTAAAGGACCTCTCCCTCATGTATTTTTCTACATGCTTGCCAAAATGAAGTAATTATTTAGAAAATACAGGATACACTAATAAACAAAAGAAGCAAAAGTACTGTTGGTAACTTACTGAATGATAGAAAACTTGTTGTAAAGTTCCAAAAGAAAAATCAACCTCTAAAGAAAGTATTATATATGCATGTATGCAGGAAAATAATTTCATGAAGATTAAACGATTGTTGTATTTTTAAAGAAAACCTACAAAAATGAACATATCCAGCCTATACATACATGTATATGCAGTGTAATTGCATTCACAAGATGTGCATATGTACATGTATGTAATACACAGGCAACCCTACCGGTATACATCAGAGTATAACGATCATATTAATCATTTCTACAGCAATAGTGGTAATTAGAATCAGATGATCATGCATCTAAACTGTACACTGTATGTGACCTAGTGCCCTTGAATATTACCGGTAAGCATTAATACTCAACATTGTCCATTTGATAGGCTATCTATTAGCCATAATTAAACTAGTACTGGGTAATTAACTGCTCTTTTGGCATTAGAGGTTAAATTTCACATGATCAATTAATTATCAGATAACTGAACAAGATCAGCTTCATTATGAAGAAACTAATAGTAATATCCAACTTGATTCAATCACTAAATAAATTTCCCTTTTCATATCTAACAATATTAATGAACATATTAAAGGAGGTCTTCATGTAGAGGAGTGCAAGTCTATTCTGCAAAAGGGTGTAGCGAAATACTTCATAAGGCATAAAGTATTTTGCAATAAGCACACCATGTGTTGTTAGCACTTCCTTCTCTCAATCACATGTATGTTTCATAATTTCTATGAAGGGTCGTCCTCTTCAATTCCTTTCAGTACGCTATACACCCTGGCACAGGCTACAACAACTGGCCCCTTTTTTAGAACCAGCTGCTAAAGAATAATGGATAGAAGAGAAAGCTGAAAGACGTACAGCCCCCTTTATCAATTAGATTCCTTCCTTGTCTGCCCCATGCATATGGGACCATATTTTGACAACTACCCACTGTACTCACTCAATGCTGCATATTTACACCCCCTCCTAGCCCCATCCAAACATTTTTTTAGCCCCAGGACAACTGGCCCAGAAAACTACTTCAGGCCAAGGACAATATTACACCTGATAACTGCCCCATATACAATTAACCCCTTCACTTACACCTGTGAAAAAAGAGGGGGGATCCTCCAATTGTACCTCAGAGTGCAGTAGAAGGTTAACATTTCAGGCCATAGAGAAATCGGGGGGGGGGGGGGGAGGGGTAAATTTTCATTGTAGACGGTTAAGTGCTTTTTATACATAAAATGACATGTATAATTCAACATTTGTGTAGTTCTAGAAAGGAGCCCCCCCCCCCCCCCCCCCCTCTCTCTCAAAAAAAAAAGATAAGATTAAGATACATTTTTCATGACTTATTGTAAGGGATTTTTTTGTTATTTCACGATGTCACTTTTAGTCATTTTGCTGCATCATGTTTTGGCATCAAACAATACTGCAGGGATGCTACCTTTCCAGATACTGATGATACCGATCAGCTCGATCACAATTCATTTTTGTTTGCCTGCTTCTGTTATCTCAAACAAAACCAAGAAAGGATGATGGAAAGTTCTGATGATGGAAGATAACTGGGAACAATGCCAGAACTAAAGTCTAAAGACGCTTACAACTTAAAGTTAAGTACATGTACATAGTCATGGGAAGCCAATTTTGATAACAAGAAAATTGAGAGAAATTAGACAATGAAAGATTCAACAGAACAAAACAAAAGAGTAAAGAAAAAGCAATGAATTTAAATTCAATATTTAAGAAACAACAAATACATGTACATGTATTATGTACAAACTACATGTTCATGTACAAGCTGGCAACTGAATGAGTTCCTCTGCAAACTACCCTCCATTGCAACCCCTATAGTCATGATGATAATTAACAACTTGTGGTACTTTCTATTACATGTACATTTAGTACAAATTGAATGAAGAGTATTAAACTCCTGAGGAAACCATGCCAATTTGAGAAGGGATCTTACATGTATACACGTATATATGTCAAAAGCTGCTTTATAAAAAGAAAAAAGATAGAGAACAAATTGAAACTGCACAGGCTTCCAAATTAAGAAAAATGAATAGTAATGGTTCCACTAAAGGTCAGGGGAACTAGATAAAAATATAGATTTCTGCAATAGACAAAAATCCTTTCTTGTCTTAAAAACCTTTACAGGTTGTGGAAATCAAGACTACAGTAATTGATTAGGAAGCTCAATGTATTTTGAAGAGGAAATACTGACATGGAAGGAAATCATTTTGTAATCATTTTGTAATCTAATAACTGAAATCAATCAAATTAACATATCCTGCAAAAATAGTGCAACTACTCTTCAAAATACACAGAATGTTCTTCAACCAACTGGCACGGATAATAATACTCATGAACTTCATTTTTTCGGCATCTATTTTCAATTGGCAGAGCTATTTAAGGGGGAGCCCCATTTTGATAACACATGAATATAAATTCTTGCATACACGAGTGTACATTAACATACAATTGTAGTTGCTAGGCATTCTTTATCAACTGTGTGAGCTATTTTGGGGTTCCCCATTATGAAGACAGGGAACATTTTAAATGAAACAGTTCCTCATGTTTTATTAGATACTGGTATGTTGGAAAATGGGTTAATTTACATGTACATGTATATCCTTAAAAAATGTACCGGTAGATCTGTGAATAACGATGAGTTCCTGATTTAGAATGATTGAATAATGGATGACATGCTTTGAATTGGTGTGAATGATTTCATTTTCCCAAGTTATATTTTCTGGATGATATCAATGTTTAAAATGGTATCAACTTTGAACTATCAAAACTGTGTTATAAACAAGATAAAAAGAAGACATTTGCTATCAAAAACACTGTGCATGTACACTGTACATATGGACATGGGGCCATGTAAGTATGCATGGAAGACTTTAACATGATAATTATTCATGAATGTATTAATCTATTTATTCAATAATTCATTTATTTGTTTATTCATTTAACTATTTATTCATTAATGTATTCATTTGTTTATATTTATGTATATATTTTTTATTCATTTATTTATTCATTTATGAATTTATTTATTCAATCATTTATTTATTAATTAATTTCCAAATGTAATAAATCTGAAATTGTCTTTTACATGAACACTGTACACAGTAACTTATCAAACTGCTATCAGATAGCCATTTTTGTGGTAAAATACAATGTAGAAAAAAATAGAAAAGAAAATTATGGATTACAAATTACAAAACATAATCAATGAATCCCATTAAAGTGCTGGCAAGGACAAAATTAGGTGACTATGGAACTGAGAAATTTCTGGCCAGCTTAATTTGGCATGGAGGTAAAATCTACAAGTACAAGATATCATGTGTAAGTGCAGTAGCATCAGACACGCTCATCGCCTAGCTCTCAACACCTCAGGTAAATACAGAGACCAGGAGAAGAGTAGAAGAAGAAAAAAAAAGATAACCCAAACTCTTGACAAACCATGAGTCATGGTAAGTACACCTAATGACAGATTTGATCTGACTTTAAGATACTTTAATAGAGAGCATTTCCTACTTGCATCTTCTCTAAATGTAGGATTTGTATGGTTGAGTTCGTCTATGCGTATCTGGGAAATTTGTGACGTAGAACTGGTAGTCATTTCAAGAGAAACTACATGTACTGGGGGGTGTTTCACAAAGATCCTAAGTTGAAATTATCTCTAAGGGTGCGTTTAATCGACACTTTTTCACCCTAGAATCACGGTTTCTAAAGACGTTTAGTTTAAAACGCAATGCGTTCAAGCGATTTTTTCGTCGGTCGTAAAAATAAACGTGTTTGAAAACACAAACATGAAACGCTGAAAAAGATGCGTTTTGTATCATGATTCTGCAGAATCACGGTCGCTAAATTTCGATTGAACGGACGGAGTTCTCAATCATGATTGTATGACGGAGCCTGTTCCGGTTTGGGCAAAAACCGCGCGCCTGCTTTTCTTGCAATTTGCGTTTACTATACCATGCTCTTTATCATGGCATGTTCCGTTATGTTATACCTTGTTTTCCTCTTTTTCTCTTTCTGTCTTTCCTTATGTTATTCTTTGTTTCTTCCTTCTATTCTTATGTTATTCTTTGTTTTTTCCTTCTATCACCTTCTTTTATGTTATTCTTTATTTTTATGATTCTATCACTTTCTCTTTCTGTCTTTCCTTATGTTATTCTTTGTTTCTTCCTTCTATTCTTATGTTAATCTTTATTCTTTTCCTTCTATCACAGTTTCTTATGTTATTCTTTATTTTAATCATTCTATCACTTTCTCTTTCTGTCTTTCCTTATGTTATTCTTTGTTTCTTCCTTCTATTCTTATGTTATTCTTTGTTTTTTTTTCCTTCTATCACCTTCTCTTATGTTATTCTTTATTTTTATGATCCTATCACTTTCTCTTTCTGTCTTTCCTTATGTTATTCTTTGTTTCTTCCTTCTATTCTTATGTTAATCTTTATTCTTTTCCTTCTATCACAGTTTCTTATGTTATTCTTTATTTTAATCATTCTATCACTTTCTCTTTCTGTCTCTCCTTATGTTATTCTTTGTTTCT